AGCACCAGACGAATTGAAAGGGAACTAGGAGTAAGTAAAGATGTCGTTCACAAAGTGCTTGGAGAACAATTGCTATATCCATACCATAAGAAGCCAGTACAAGAATTATTAGTCCATGATCCTCAAATTCGTTTGGGTTTTTGTCGATTTGTTAATATGCAAAGAGAAAGAGATCCAAACTTTGTCAAGAAGGTTCTCTTTACCGGGTTTTACAAGAAGAGGTATAACTAATACCCATAATGAACATGTTTATGCTGTTGAAAATCCGCATGCAATAAAGGAAAACCATTTTCAGCACGAATTCAAAATTAATGTGTGGGCTGGAATAATTGGTAATTTCATTATTCGTCCTGTCATACTTCCACGAAGATTAACTGGAGAAAAATATTTGGATTTTCTACAAAATACGTTGCCAGAATTGTTAGAAGATTTACCTCTCCAACTTCGGAGAGATATGTGGTTTATGCAAGATGGAGCTCCACCACATTTTTCTTTAAACGTTAGAAACCACTTGAATGAACAATATCCACACAAATTGATAGGCAGAGGTAATGACGCACCTGTAAACTGGCCACCACGTTCCCCAGACCTAACACCTATGGATTACTTTTTATGGGGACATCTGAAATCCACAGTTTACAGGGAACCTGTAGAAAATGAGGAACAACTCTGGCAACGTATTCAAGATGCAATAAACAATCTTAGAGGTGATGAAGAAGTTATGGACAGGATACATTTTAATTTTCTTCGACGTATAAATCTTTGTATGCGTGAAAATGGTGAACATTTTGAACAATTTTTGCAAAATCTCTATTTTGATTATGTTGTAAATAAATATTTTTGTGAAACCTATACACTCTTAAATTATTAAAACAGAAATTTAGCGAAAACCATGAGAGTAATCGAGTCTTATCAAGAGTACCTTTTTTAAAGTAAATGAGTTGCGCAATCTAAATTTCATACTCAAACTCCTTTTCTTCCATTGGCGTAGAATTTTTAAAGGTGCAATTATTTAAAAAATCAAGTTCTACGCCTATGTATTATTATCGGACAAAATTTTAATACCATTTTTTTTGCCACATAAAACTCTACCAATATACCAAAATCACTTATGCCGTTTTAAATTTATATGGGATAAACGATTTAAAAATTGTAACTTCAAGGCCCTCTGGAGCCCAAACAAAGCAACTTTGAACTAAGGTAATTTTACTTAAATCGACTTATTTTGGTCTAAGGAATATGTGGTGTTTTTGTAAAGACCTTTTACAGATATTTTTTCTTTAGGATTCTTAGTCAAAGACGATTTAAGTTTATAAAAAAAGCTAAAACTAACGATACATATTTTTTGAGCCTCACATTTTCATTTGTTACGGTCACCTGAACACCAATGAAACCTGGTGAGAATTAATCAATTTTTTTCATAAACATTTTAAAGTAATAAATGAATTAAACAACATAAGTGAATAAAAAAAGTTTATTTCAAAAATGACGCAGAATAAATTCTTAGAAAACAATTTAATTTGGTATGCTAAAAAAGTTTTTATTCTCTTTGACATATAGAAGCATCTTTCAGTTACGGATGTTGACATAGGTGTCACTAAAACCAAAGAGTACAAAATATAACTATAAAAGAGGAGTCACTCGCCCAATTACCGCGATCAGCCGCCAGTCCTCCACAGTCCTTTCTCGAACGGCAGTATACCGGTGTAGTTCAACGCGTAAGGCTCGTTTGTTCCGCTACGTATTTTAAATACTGTGCGCCGCGCGCGTCTTACCGCTTAACCCCAGTATATAGCCCAATTAGCTCTGTATTCTATGCAAAAAAACGCCGACTTGTACTCTTTGCTAAAACTGCTAGTAGCTTAATAGTTCCTTGAAAATTGCACCTATATCTTCCTATGAAATTAATGATAAAAGAAGAACGGAAGAAATGGTTTGCAATAATTCTTCTCTTTCTTACTTGCAGTTCTATTTTTACACGATTTTTTTCCTAGAAATGGATATACTTTAACTGTATCAGCAATTTGGGAGGAAAATTTTTTTGGTATTCGCTAAAATGTTCTTTCATTAATAATACTGTAGCTACCAGATGTTCTGTAAAAGTAAATCGAGACTCAATCTGATACTTCCAAGGCTTCTATTTTTTTGTTTATTGAAACAGATCGAAACGAAAGTAACGTCGCTTTTTTTTAGGAAGATTCTACTTCGTTTTCTAAAAGCTCCGAGCCTAGATTTTCAAAGGTTTTTATATCTGGTTTAGCCTTGATTGGGTCAGTATTATAGACTATTTTTATGTATAAGAGAGTAATAAAACAGCATTTCTAATGCTAAACTTAGTACAGTCATTTTAAATATTTTTACAGAATAATCTAAATATTTCCTAAAATTGTAATAAATGTACCTGAGCTATTACAAGTTTTGGGTCTTTTATTGGTCCTTTTTGGTCCTTTATAAACTTAAGCTGTATAGAACAATAGAAAAAGGTTTGGACAGGCCAAAAGCCCTGTGTATTAAAGATTACATAGCCGTATCTTAAGATTATTTTCAATAAGTACCTATTTGCCAATTTTGTTTTATTTTAATTCCAAGAATTTCTTACAGTAATCGAAGTATATGTAGATGAATACCTTCCCAACAAATTTCACCGAAAATGCGATTATAGGTTTTCCATTTAGTAAGGAGGTCCAAGTTGTGTATTATTGACAGTTTACTAAATGTCGTTTAGTTGCAACTTGCAAGGTGCAGTGTGAATTCTAGTGTGATCATGGAAAATTTGGAAGGGCCGCGTAAACGACAAAAAATCGGTCCTTTAACAGTTAATGAAAAAACATTAACATTTGTTTTAAATCATTTACAGACAAACATTTATGTAAAAGTGTTGATGACACAGTGGAATTAGTTAGTAGTACGCTTGGTGTTGGGAAATCTACGATTTACAGAGTTGTTAAAGAAGAGAAATGTGGCGAGTTTCAAACAGCACGTAAAGCTCCAGGAAAACCAAAATTTTAATTAGAAAATCTTTTGAAAGAAAGACTTCGAAGGAAAGTGCATGCGTTCTTCTTTAGAAAAGAATTTCCGACAGTAGACAAAGTTCTTGCCACGGTTCGAGATGATAAGGATTACCCTGAAATGAGTCGAAGCACACTATGGAAACTTTTAAAAGAAATAGGTTTTCTATGGAAAAATCATTCCAGAAAGTCTATTTTAATAGAAAGAAGCGATATTGTAGTATGGAGAAGAAATTACCTAAGGACTATAAAAGAAATGAGAAACCAAAGAATAAATATATTTTATTTAGATGAAACATGGATCAACGAGGGACATAAACCAAATAAATTTTGGTAAGATGAAACTGTTACAAGTCGAAGACAGGCTTTTTTAAATAATTTATCTACTGGTTTAAATCTACCATCAGGAAAGGGGCGCAGACTAATAATAGTACACATCGGTAGTTCAAACGGTTTTGTTAAAGGTGGTTTATTGACTTTTGAATCTACTCGTACCGGTGACTACCATGAGGACATGAATGCTGATGTCTTTAAAGAGTGGTTCGAACAAATTACAAATCTTCTTCCTCAGAACTGTATAATAGTAATGGATAATGCAAGTTATCACTCGAGACTTATAGAAAAAATGCCCACAAGTGGTTAAAAAAAGATTTACAGAATTGGCAAATTCAAAGAATATTAAGTTCCATCCCGGTTCTGTGAGAAAAGAACTGTATCATTTGTGTTCCCCTCATAAAGAGAAATTCAAAAAATATGAAATTGTTGAAATTGCAAAAAATCGTGGGATGACGGTGGTTAGATCACCACCATATCATTGCGAAGTAAACTCGATTGAACTGATATGGGCACAGATAAAGGGAGAAGTTTCAAGAAAAAATAATTCTTTTAAAATGAGTGATGTTAAACAGTTGTTTTTGGAGGCTGTAAATAATGTGAAGCCTGAAAACTGGGAAAAGGCAGTAAATCATACGATTAAAGAAGAAGAGAAAATGTGGAAGTTGGACAATATTACTGATGAAATGATCGAGCCACTCATTGTAAATATTGGTTGCGACAGTTCATCTTCTGATTTCGATTCTGATTTGGATTTGTAGGTAAGAAGTAGTTTTTATATTAAAATTATTATTTATGAACGTAACGTTGTTTAAAAGTCAAAGTTTAAACCCTTATACCTACATAACCCGTTTGACACAATGTTCTTAACATACCTTGTGGAAAAATTACACATTTTAGAAAAAATTGCACTTTTTTACCTTCAGCTGTTTAGAAGTTATAAGCAGGTTAATTAGGTGAAAATATAAGTGTATACTCGAGGAATAACTTCAAAAAATATTTTAACTGTCTACTAAAAGAAGTGGTACGCCTATGGATTACGAACGCTTTATTATTTTAATACCCTCTCATACATAAAAATAGACTTTTATAATCGTCTGTAGTTGTTTAAAAATTATTTCTACTCGTGGCGTGATTTTGTGAAAAACTGTTAACCTAAATATGAAATCTCTGTTCTATAAACTTGGTTTATAAACCAGTCATTAAAGATACTCAATTCACATTTTTTCTTTATATATAAAATACTGTTTTAGTTTATATCATAGATACAAAATTGCTGAAAACCGATGACATATATTGCATATTTAAAATTAGTGTTATTTAAACTAACCAATTATTATTAAAAAGTCTTTATTGACTGGTCTATAATCAAAATTGTTCTTAGCCTCGCTAAAAGTTTAGAAGTCTGTATCCCCCTTATTATTGACTGAAGGTAAAAAAGGTTATTAAAATGTTTAATAATCTTTAAGAAACAACTTTTAAAGCGCACTGAAAAAAGAAAAGACTACGTTTATATGTCAATTTTAGAAGTTTTTGTCCAATTATTTTTATGTAGCCAGTTTAAATGAAAAATATACAGGGAAAAATTAAAAATATTTTATTAACAAGTTAAAATAATTTAAGTAAAATATACAAGCGTAACTTAAAATATTTTGACACTTGCCGCGATTACATGTCAAAATTAGAAAAAAATATTTTGAGGGTAATTTTTATGCACAATCAGAACGTTGTTTTGGGACGTACCTCGTATGTATTAGAATAATTTAAACTGCCATTTTAGTGGGACGCAATTTGTGTTCTACTGACATTTAACATGTAAGAAAAACCAAGCACTCTGTCACACAATTTGACATATATACGTTTTTAAATATTGTTTAAAAAATAGTTTAAATGTATGTAACTTCTAAATTAATATAATAGTAATAAAAAGTTAATAAACATAATATTTTTATAAATAAATAAAATTTTATTGGCATGTAAAAATTACAAAATAAACAATAGTACAATTTAATAAAAATTATTTGATAAGTCTACTGTGTAACTGTTAGTAGAACACAAATTACCTCATTACTCATTTGGTTATAGTCCTTCTGCCTAGTAACTACTATTCTCACTTTTTTTAAAGACTTATCTACGTCAAAAATAACATATAGGGTCTGGCAAACCTCCGTGGTTGTTCTATAACTAATATTATTTAAAATTGTTACGATTTAAAAAATACATTTTTAAAAACCAAAATAAGTCGATTTAAGTAAACTTACCTCAGTACAAAGTTGCTCAGTTTGGGCGCCAGACGACCATGTAGTTACAAAATGTCCAATATTAGTGGGCACACTTTCATCGATTTTTCCCCAGATCTGGGGAAATTTGTAAAGTAAATCTGACAACACCGCAAATTAAATCTATTAATTAGACAGAAACTTACCAAAAAAAGAAAATGCCGCTTCCCAGTAAACAACTCAGATCGATAGATCCTTTAGATACATACAAATTTCCCCAGATCTGGGGAAAATTCGAACAGCATCCATTTCAAATGCCCTCTAGGTTAACCCTACCCAGATTGTAACGTTGAAGTTAGCTTTCAGTTAATCTTTAATTGAGAACAAAAACGTATTTGTTGTTTGAATTATTTTAAAGTCAGACTTAACTGTACATTGAAAAATGTTGCGTTACTAATTTGATATATGTAGCAACATTGTCTATAATTCATTTTTTAACTAGAAAATAAGATTTGAATTTGTTAGCCTGATTCTAGCTTCTGATTGGTTATTTAACATTCAAGTTTACATAGATCAAAATGTCTAGAATGACATTAGAAGATAGTAAGTCGCTTAGGTACACGTTCATCGATTTTTCCCTAGATCTGGGGAAATTTTAAAAGTAAATCTGGCAACATCGCACCGTATGAATCAATCCATTAATTCCTCAGAAACGGATACGCCGCTTCTCCAGTACACAACGCAGCTCGATAGATCCTTTCCGACACAATCAAATTTCCCTAAATTTGGGGAAAAACGGTGAAAGTATATTTCTTTTATTTATGATTCGATTGAAAATTGCAATACTCTGTTAAACCTGAAATATAAACAAAACTAACATTTTGATTGGTTGACATTTAGCTTTGTACACGTTTTTAATTTTATATATGGCAACGTTGCTCATACTTTATTTTTAAACAACTAGAAGGAGCGATTTTCATTTTCCGCCTAATCATAACTTCTGATTGCTTATTTGACATTCAAGTTATGAACCAAAATATCTAAGAATAATAGTAAATGGTAAGTCACTTGAGTAATTTTATCGATTTTTTCCCAGATCTAGAGAAATTTGTAAACTAGGCAACACTGAATAAATTAATCCGTGTTAGTTCCCCAGAAACTTGCTATAAAACGGCAACGCCGCTTATTCAGTACACACCCCAGATCCTTAAACAGAATTTCCCCAGATCTGGGGAAAAAACGAAGAAAATCCATATTAAAAATGTCAAAGGCCGCCTACCTTGATTGTAACATTGAAATGAGCGTTAAGATTGAAAAACTGAAGTGTTGGTTGGACAACCAATCCTAAAACATTACTAATTTTATATGTAGCATTTGGATTTTCCGGCCTAAGCTTATCGGTTATTTCACATTCAAGTTCACATAGACTAAAATGTCTAAGAATGACTTTAATAATAAGCCACTTGGGTACACTTTTGCCGATTTTCCCCAGATCTGGGGAAATTTAGAGATTTCGCGACAATGCATGAATCAATCTAATTATTGCCAAAAAAAACGGCAAGGGTGATAAACGGCAACGTTGCTTCTTCATCACATAGCCCAGATCGATAATTTCTTAGACAGGTAAAAATTTCCCCAGATCTGGGGAAAAATCGAACAACATCCATATTAAAAATTTCAAATGCCTTTTACGTTATAAAGTGATTATCTTTTAACAATGGGTTAACCCTAACCCGATTGTAACGTTAAAGCTTTTAGTTAATCTTTAACTGTCAATTGAAAAACAAAAAATATTCGTTAAGTTTTTAGATATTTTAAAATCAGACTTCTACGCATTGAAAAACCTGCCCTAAAACGTGTTTCTAATTTTATGTGACGTAGCAACATTACCTAACTTCATTTGTAACCAATTAGAAGAAGCCATTTGAATTTTTCAGCCTAATCCTAGGTTATGACTGGTTATTTGACATTAAAGTTGATATAAACCAAAATGTCTAAGAATGACATTAGTAGAACTATTTCCCCAGATCTGGGGAAATTTGTAGTGTAATTTGGAAAGACCGCACAGCATAAATAAATCCGATAATTTCCCAGAAACTTGTAAGAAAACGACAACGCCGTTTCTTCAGTACACAGCCCAGATCAGATCTTTGGTGCACTTTCATCCATTTTTCCCCAGATTTAGGGAAATTTGTAGAGCAATCAGGCAACACTGCACCGCATAAATTAATCCATTACTTTCATAGAAACTTGCCAAAAACGGCTAGACCATTGTTTCGGTTTACCATCCCTTTACAGATAAATTTCCCCAGATCTGGGGAAAAATCGAACAACATCCATATTAAAAATTTCAAATGCTTTCTACGTTATAAAGTAATAATTATCTTTTAACAATGGGTTAACCCTACCCCGATTGTAACATTGAAGTTAGCTATTAGTTAGTCTTTAATCGAAAAACAAAAAGTATTTAAATTTTAGTTATTTTAAAGTCAGACATTAAAAAATCAGCTCTGAAACGTTATGTTACTAATTCATTTTTAAAGGAGCAATTTGAATTTTTCGGTCTAATAATAATAGTTCACATAGACCAAAATGTCTACAAACAACATTAGTAGATCGTACGCCACTTGGGCACAATTTTATAGATTTTCCCCAGATCTGGGGAAATTTGTAGAGTAATGTGGCAACACCACAACAACGGAGGTTTGCTGAATATTATGCTACCGATAAGTACTATTTCATTCATAAAGTATCACCGATTTTAAATCATGGCTGAAAGAGGACTGCCTACTTTCTAATTACATATACACATTCAGTTCGTTCAGTCTTTTTTGCAGCACAATATACCTAGAATAAATAACTGCATTGGCAACTCGTTACTGCATCTTCGACACCTCGAACCTCGTATTCACCAATTCTTCATCAGAATCCAATATGGGCAAAGCAGGATCACTTTTAACATTCTCTTCTAACCATTTAAGATCGTCATCTACAGTCGTTCGTTGTGGTGGACCATTTTTAGGATGATGCACTCTTACTTTAACTCCATACGCATCGTTTACTAGTTGTTCTTCTTCGTCAGCATCGTCACCTGTATCTAGAAGAGGTACGAAAGCGTAGCGCTGATTATTATTGGTAGGCCGCCATAAAATCATTATCACCAACAGTAAAAGCGAGAATAAAATATGCCAATAGGCTTCATCGACCCAAATGTCTTTCCATTTCACCAAACAGTCGACGAAACGATGCGCTTTGATGGTGTACAACATGAAGAACACAGAAGCTAATACTGAAAATATGAGGGTGTTAGTGAAATGCCTGTATAGGGTTAACTTAGTTTCGTTTCTACGCAATCTTAGAGTTCTTGTAGTGTTTACTAAAGCTGAGAAGATCCACCAACATATAGCGGAATCTAGTACTGCTAATGGTACTGATGCTACTAGGATATCCCTGCTGGGATCGCTTTTAACTTTGGTTATCCGTAAATAAGCTTCCGAAGCTGCTAGGAAGAAATATAGAAGCCCCACTCCTACTACTCGATGCAACGTCGCTCCTAACCTTGGTTTTACTATTCCGAACCCTAAGCTAACTATTACGACAAGCATTCGCGCTAATGTTCTTTTAGCGCAAGATATCCATTCTGCGAAAAGCATGGCGCCTTGTACTCGCACTCCTGTGTTGTTAATGCTTTGAAATTCGGCGTAGAATGTTGCTTTTTCTAACATTCCTAGTAGAATTACCCCTCCAATCCAGAATTGTACTCGTAGAAGATCCCTCCATTGCGAAAAAGACAGTATCAACCATATTACACCAAGCATGACGTAATACAAACACATGAAACCGTAGAAAGGCAACAAAGGCCAGTCAGCAGCTGATAGATAACCGTAATCGTTCTTCATTTCGATGTGCACCCCGACGCTATACTCGGAGGTGTTCGTGTTTACTTTTAGAGCTAGTACGTAGACTCCGTCGTGAGCGATTTTGTGGATGGGTTGTTTGCTGGTGCGTTGTTCTTGATTTTTGTCGGTTGGATCTGGATTTTCGTGGATGAAAATGTGATCGTTGCAATTGTAGGTTTCGCTGGTGTGGTACACTTTTGAGGTGTTTTTGAAGTCGGGATTCGGCAATGATATTTCCTGAAAAAAAAAAAAAAAAATGGTATTATCGATTAAGGGTGGGATTACAGAACGTCTGCAACTTTGCAGATCTGCAAATATGGCGGACTTACAGATGCAAGTATCAAGTTTACGTATTCCAAAAAATATCTGCAAATTCGCAATAAACTACAATAAATTTTACTAAATTGCAGATATTTTTTGGAATACGAAAACTTGATACTAGCATCTGTAAGTCCGCCATATTTGCAGATCTGCAAAGTTGCCGTCATATTTGCAGATCTGCAAAGTTGCAGACGTTCTGTAATCTCACCCTAACCGCATAAATTCGTACGGTATTATTTATTTATTACAATAACAAGAAACAAAGTAGGAAAGTCGATACCAGTGTTGCCAGAATATATTTTTGTTATGTACCAGATTTGTCTGGGAAATGTACCATATTCTATAAATTCTACCATATTTTTCGTATTGTGATGGTGTGCTTTGAAGAGCAAAAAAAGCAGAACGAACACAAAACAAGAAAGAGGGTTATATCTCAAAAACAATAATTTTTCAAAAGAACAAGTTTAAATAATTTGGTAAGCCTAAAAACTAGAAAGTTATATCTGCTCTCTGGTGGTGTTAAGCTAACTTGTTCCCATTTTTCCTATAAAACATGAGATAATTTTAAATAGATTCTCAAAATTTTAAGTTTTTTGATATGTATCCCTCTTCTTCGAAATGAACGATATTATTTTACACGTCAAATGAAAAAAGGCTAAAAAAAGGAAAAGTACTAGATTTTGCTTCAAGTATACTAGAGTGCCAGATTCTTAAATAATGTATTAGATCTAGTACAATTGTACTAAACTGGCAACACTGGTTGATACCTTAGAATATATATAGTCAGGAAGGAGAAATCCTAAACGACCTTGGAATCGCGATGGTATCTAATTTTGACAGTGAACTAGACGAATATGGCGACAAGTGTTTACGGTCTACCAATGACGTACTGTCATAAAGGGGAGTAGAAAAGAAAATAATAAATTCTCATTTGCATATTATCTAAATTTACCGATTTCTCTCATTTTAACGAATTGCTATTTTCTTGTGAAAAGTTTGCATATTTTTTTTTTTAATTAACCTTCATTATGTGAATAAATTTTACTATAAAATTGCATGTTAGGTGGTATAAATATAGGAAAATATTTTTGGGATAACTTACAGAGGGATTTCATTTGAAAAATCAAAGTAATAATGTATTAAAAAAAAATATTGACTTTTTTACGTCTTTATTATGACAATGCCAAATTATTAACAAATTTTAATCACTAAAATTATAAACCAATTTTAGAAACCATTTATAATATGATGATGAGTCATCCATAGTACAACATAGCTACCACTTTCGTCAGATCGATTAGATCAGTGGTCGCCATCCTCTCAATGTGTTGAGCTACTTTGTTAATTTTGGAATAAACAGCGAGCTACCCACACGGAAGCCACGTAACGCAACGTAAATGAAATAATCCACAGTTAATTTATCATTATTTGTATTTATTTTACTATTTAACTGGTAATACATAATACATAGGTACTAATAATAAACTAATAACGAAATAACTAATATTACTAGTACGTACTTGTTCATAGCTACATTCCTACCTACCAAACGAAGGTGTTTGAAAAATAAACACAAACTTTTATCCAGCCACAACGGCATGTCACGTAAGATTTAAAAATAGTTAATAATAACAACAAAAAAGTAACGCACTATCATGAACATAAACATTTAAAAATAAAAAAGCACGTTCAATGAGAAGGCTGACACTCAGACTCATCGATAATTTTTTTAATGTTTGCAGTATAATTTGATACAGCCATTCGAATACAATTATCCAAATGTTCATCTGTAAGTCGATTGCGATATTTGTTCTTAATAAACTTCATATTGGAAAAAGAAGATTCACACAAATAAGTTGAACTGAATAATGCTTTCACTTTCAAGGCAACACGGCATAGAACTGAATATTTATCATTACTTACAATAGGCCAGATACATTTGGTACTTGAGACTAACGATTTTAAGGCTAAATCATTTTGAAACTCAATTACTTCCATTTCTGTTGCAGCGATGTCTTCGCCAAAGTTCTGCATAACACAAGTTGCAAACTGTTTGATATCAATTTCCATAAAGGGTGAAACAACAAACTGCGCTACTAAAGCCATTTCGTTGAAATCCTTAAAACGATTTTTGAAGTTATTCTTCAGGGTAGAAACTATTTCTATATGATATTTGCTGTCATAGGGTTCTAATGGATTTTGAGATATTTTTTCTGAAAGAATAGGAAAATGCTTGGCATCGCTGTTAATTAGGTTTTGTTCCCAAAACTCCAGCTTTTTGATAAATGCTTTTATATCAGAAATCAGCGGCAGATCGCTCACCGCAACGTTGCCGCTGTTTATGTATAATATTATGACAATTAGATTTTTTTGTGGAATTTTCGGAAACTTCTCTGATTTTTGCAGTTTGTATTTTTTAAATTAAAATCATTGTGAGAGCTACCAGAATTGCCTCCGCGAGCTACCGGTAGCTCGCGATCGACAAGTTGGCGACCACTGGATTAGATTAACGCGGACATAGCATGCTCCTTCCAGCTACTTATTTTGTACTTAAAATAAATAAAATAAAATTGTAACCAGATGACACTTTTCTGATTCGCAGACGAAATGAATGCCACCTAGCGCCTGGAGGATATACTACTGGGTTAAGAACCACTTTAACACCTTGTTGCCATTGTATAAAGAACTATAGTAGGATAATCGCTATGTAAAAGTTATTGGGGACAATCGCGCCTGACATCTATTGGTACAGTAATTCAACTAAAGATTTTATTTGCTGATCAGATTCGCCCTCTGTTGAAGTTACACCAAAAAGACGAATACTCAATTATTACAAATTTAAATGAACTTCTTTATTTTAAAAAGTAGCTGACATTTAACGTACAAAATAATAGGTAATAAGTGTATATCATAAACATTTAAGTGTTAAACCAAAGAGAAAACATGATAATGTAACTATTTTAACACTTTCCTTCATTAAATAGTTTTCTGCTGGGAAGAGAAAGTGTAATCTAGGCTTTGGGATTGATTTAGTCATCATATCGTCTAATTGGAGTTCAGACGATACCTTCTTGACAATAATTTCTCCATCTGATACCAATTCTCTAATAAAAAAAATGTCGTGTATGGGCATAACATGCTTCAAGTTAGGTTTCTTTCCTGTCCACACCTCTGTTGGTGATTTTCCTTCAATTCTGGAAGAACCACTCAGATTAAGAATATATTTTGCTGAGTTTATCATTTCAGCCCAAAGTCCTTGCGGAATTTGACCATGAACGTGCTGTTTCTACAAGCGTTCTATTTTCTCTCTCTACAGAATCATTTACCTATAAGGCATTGTGACAGGCTCCTGGTTCACCTACAGTGAATTAGCGAGTCTGTATGGCGCTATGATGGTGATACCCGAATAGGGGTTGCTCAGGCGCCAGTTTTGGTATCGCAGTTTGCTCTGTGACCCTGAAGTACACCAGAGTGTACTCAAAGTAAACTCAGTGGAGGTAAAAAAATAATTCCAGGCGGTCACTGCCAGGTAGCCACTATACTAGAATAAATAAAAAATAAAACACTTATCTCCTTTACACCTCGTACTCTACGGTACCCTGAAAGAGAACGGTTAAGAACCAGTAATAAAAGAAACACAGGAATAGGTAATAAAATATGTATTTACAAAAAAAATAAATATAACGGTAATTATATATGAACGGCTCCCTGCATTCGGAAAATCTATTCTTTAAAAATAAATTATTAAAATTGAAAAGTATTTAAATATTGACGGATCCATATATCCGGAAAATTTATGAAAAATAAATTAGTTAAACGTATGGAAATATTTATGAAAAATAAATTATTAATATTGAAAATTATTTAAACATAGGGAAATATTTATGGTTTATTAGCACAGGGGGCTAATCGGACTGGGAATTGTGAAACGCCCAATATACGGAAAATATATGAAAATAAATTAATACACTTGAAAACAATTTAAATATGACGGTAATCAAATGCAAGCAAATAAATGAAATCAAAGTTTTCGGAACGTCCCTGTATCTTAGACGAGACGATCTGCGCCCTGGCAATTATTATTGAATGAGAATAATCGTCGGCTTCGTTCAATAATTAGTTGTGGACGGAGAACGGAATGATTCAAATACAATTGAATGAATAAATAAATAAATAAATAAATAAAAGAAAATAAATTTTACACGAAGTGAGGCGCGGAAATTAATTTAAACGTCTTTTTGGGAAATTAGATACGTCATCAGGAGAGAGAGAGCACTCCAACCCGAGAACAGATCGAACCTAAAAAAAAAAAAAGAAAATAAAACAATAAAATAATAGAAGAAAATTGAAAACAGGTCGAACCTCTCACTTCGATGTTAACTAGGCGGTTTTTAAAAGCAATTGGATATAGTAGCTGACAAAGAGAGCACTCGGTGTCTAGTCTAGGTCCAACCTCAAATAAATAAATTGCCAACGGTTTCCCACTGAGGGATGAAATAATAAATCCTGGATATGAATCAAAATTTTTCACTTATCACACGGGTGTCCCAACTAATTATATAAAAGCCAATATAAAAAAAAAATAATATACGGTTCCTACCTTAGCAGATAAACGGGATTAATCGATGAACTAAATCACGGTACTCACTAGGTACTAACTAAGGGTGAATAGTTTTCTGCTGTCGGCAATCAAGAGAGAAGATTTTACGGCGGCTGGCAAGTGAGAAGAGGGCGTAATTCCACCACTACAGCTGACTGTTTACAATTTAGAAATATAAAAAATGTCCTTCTAGTACCTTGACAATTAAAAGTAGATAATTCATACGAGATCGACTCTAAAAATGCCCATTTGGATTTCGGCAAATTAAGAATATTTTAATCTACGAGGATACTCGCAATTTTTGAAAAACGGTAATTCCTGGAAAACAGAAATACGGGGGAACTTCTACATGTTCTCAGGCGGGAATTAATTGAAATATACATTTTTAAGATTAATTAAAAATAAAATTTAGTGACTTCGTCACAGCATAGTAAATCGTTGTTTAACTTCTAATTTGGGAAGGATGTCTTGGACTTTTTGATTATCAAATTCTCATCCGTTGTCACATAATAGTTCATGGACTGTATATCCTAAGGCTCTTATTTGATGTAACATCTTGTAGCGACATGCACTACATATCTTTATCATTTTTATTACGTCATACGAATTAAATTGTTGTCATCATTTAGACAACCTTTCGTGGCAGTTCTAGCAAGACAAAAGGTTGAACTCATTGGGAGGGAAACAAGAATTGTTTATTTATAATTATGACTTTTGTTTTTTTTTTTTGATAATTTATATACATGTCATGTTATCGAGTTTTATTATACGAAATTATACTTTTATAAGTACATTTTTATTTATTGATGGGATACAATTATTACTAAGAGTATTATTATTAACATTTAAAAGATCCCACACATCTCTTCCAGTTTAGAAGCAACTTCAACAATTTCTTGAGCTATGAAGTGTGCAGACCCTAAATTTCCATGTGGACCAATTCGATTTACCTTCTAAAAGTCCAATTCGTATTTTTGTAAGCTCCATTTTTAACGACTTTTGTGAGTAACGTTTTATCGCAAATTTTAGATTACTTTAGACAAAATGGCGTACCTGGGCCCATAACCTGTTAAAGTTACACTAAAAAGACGGAATACTCAATGAATACAAATTTAAATGAACTTCTTTACCCTCTACGTCAGATGTTGGAACTCCAGAGCGACAATTCTGTCAAACCAATTGTCAATATATATATTTTTAGTTTACTGCATAAATAATTATAATTGCATAAGTTGATAAAAAATGCTATGCAATAGCTTTACCGCGGCAGTCTCAGAGTGCCACACGTATTTTTATTTTTTTTTTATTTTATAAATTGGTAAAGCTCATAAATTATTTTCAAAACATAAATTTTATGTTAATGACTTATATTTTCTATATTTTGGTTGTATTTTAATAAAGCTATATTCCAGAGGTAAAAGATTTGGGTGTGATCATAGATTCATCCATCTTTTCAACCTCATACAAACAGCCTCAGTCAATAAAGCATTAAAAATGTGATGTGTTTAAAGATTCTTGTTTCTTAGACCTATATTGAATATGCCTTCTCTGTATGGTATCCTTTTTATGTATATCAAATCCATAATATAAAACAAGTTCAAAGAATTTTTTTACACATTGTTGCATTCAAATCTGTTTATGCCCCTTTCAGATAAAATTATAATGAATTACACACTCTTGTACATCTCGAGACCCTCCTAAGTAGAAGAAACCAAAGGGATCTTGAAGTTTTATATAACATTATTAATCTATATACTAATTGTCCCAAATTGGATTCTCTGTACACTTTAGAGCAACTAGGAACAGTAATACATTCACCCAGCCTTTGGATAGAACAAATTATGGTTTTAAATATAGAATTGAGGTTTAGATTTTTCATTAATTCTTTATTATCTAATATGTATATATTTTAAATTACCTAATTTATTATTATTAAATGACTGTGATATGTATTCTGTATTGTTTTAATGGGGGCTACCTATGATCGGTAAATAAATAATGTGACTCTATAAATGCATGTTTTACTGCCAGAATAATAATCAAAATGTCTTCAAGGAGTTGAAGAAACATTAGGACAAGAATATTCTAGTTTAAGGAACAATCAGAATACCCTGGTGTCCAAAACTTTTAAGCTATCTCATTACAATCAAAGATACATGAATTATTATAATTTAAACGTAAAAATCTTTACCTGTTTAAGAACCGCCAACGAATTGGTAATATCCCAACAGGGAGACTGTATTATAGCAACACTAATTCCAACTTGCTGATCCATGATTTTAGAATCGCAATTTACTAAAAGAAAGTTTATACAGGTAATTCATTATTTTCCTATTAGAATCATTTCTTTTACTTACTTCCTATATAAATTTTGGCGTCTTTGAATAAACTTTTCGATAGATATATGCTGTTGTAGCCCTGAAATCAAACGTTGATAGGGTGGCAATTTTTACAATTTATTTTAATCATACGTACCGATGTCAGATTCTCATTCCATTTTCCTTCGACCGGTAAAGCATCAACTTTTATGAACAGAAAAAATATGAGGAACATTCCAAAACGTATTGTTTTATACATTTTGCTAAAATTTCTCATTAGAAAAACATTTACACCACTACACTATTTTGCTTTTGACATTTATGAAAAGTGACATTTCGGTCGAGTTCGGCTATTAGAACTGGGTCAATCCGATTTCTGAAAATAGAGATTGATCTAGTAATTCATTTTTATTTTATCTTGTTGAAATTAGAAAATAATTAAATCAAGTGAATTCATCGTGCTTCAAAACTTCAATTCTCTGAAATAAAAACAATTTATAACTTTTGTTGATGATAAGGAGTACAAGGAGTGTAATATTTATAATAGTCGAACTTATCCTCTGTCATCCGAGTACTGTCAACTGTCACGTGTCTTAACTCTTGAGGCGAGTTCGGATAGTCAGGGGCTGCAGCGGGACAAATTTTAGGGTGCTTTTAAATGACATTTAAGCGTGTTAAACTGTCACTAATCGGACTTAACCGAACGCTAAAAGGGTCGTTTGGAGTTAAAAGTGTTAAAGGAGTTAAAGGAACTTGGCAGACCGAACGCAATATTGTCAAGTGATTTGGAACAACAAAGACCTTCTATAACTAGACTAGAAATCTAATGCCTGTAGATTGTAGATGCCAGTGGCGGGTAAATGTCAAAATTGTTAGATGATTGACTTTTGGGTTCTAATTAACATTGCTGTTCCTCAATTGGCGCTGGGAAATATTAATAAAGCCCACACTGAACACACTTGAATAAGAAGACAAACACAAACTGAGACTGGCCTATTCGGTATACACACCTAGGCCATAAACAAAAATAAATAATGTAGGAAATTTTAAAGAATCCTCAACATTATATTCGGTATATATGGATATTTGATTTTGTTTAACCTTGCTACAGTAGCCATATTGTTAAACTTAATAAATGGTTATTTAAATTCGTATTCTGTTTTGACTGTTATAGCAATATTAGTTATTTAATAGGGTATGTACGTAATTTTATTTAGTTTTTATGCCATGTTTGTAAAAGCGAAAAAACATTTTTAAGTTTAAATTTGTATATCATAAATTAAATCCAAGTAAAAAAATTTTCAGGATTCCTGTGTAAAGTAAATAATTTGATATATGATGTGATACCTTAAGGACCTAGGTTTATTTCTTTCTACATTGTTAATGCAAGGACCGATTCCACCGTTGTGTTAAACGAAGTTTAAAATGACATTTTTACATTAACAATGTTATTTTAATCTACGTTTAACACAACGGTGGAATCGGCCCTAAAAAATGTAATTTTAATCTTCATTTGGTAATGTAAACTTTGTTTAACACATCGGTCCTATCCAAACCTATTGATACCTATATTTTCAAAGTTGTATTACATATTGCAATAATTATGTGTTTGATAAGTGCTATTTCTGAAACGAGAGTGTTTTAAAATTGTTTACTTCTATTTGTTATAAGAATTATTTATATCTCCTAATTTTATTTGACTATATGGAGACTCAACTTTACAACACAAAAAAATTTGTTTTCAAAATACCTAACATAATATCGCGCCTTGAAGTAAAAATTAAGGTAATTCTTTTTTTTTAATATTCAATTGTTGAAAGTGGCTTATGCAAAGAACTTATTTCTCATAGGATATTAAATAAACTTTCAAAGTTGAACTTTTTTAGGACCTTATAATGGCGAAACAACATTCGTAAAATAATTATTTTGGGTTTATAAAAATGGGATGTTCCTTCATAAAGTTAAGGTCAATTATAATCAATTCAGGGTAATTTTGTAGTCATTATTTTCAGTTTATTTTTTGTTTATATAAGTTCAGTTAGTTTTTGTACAGCTTCAATTATGTTTTCTAGTAATTATTCTTGGATTTTGATTGTTCTACATTTAAATCTTTGATACCTGAAGTAAAAATTAAGGTAATTCTTTTTTTTTTAAATATTCAATTGTTGAAATTTTATTTTAAAGCATATTTAGGCCAGAACGGCTCTGTTCAGTGAGCAATCTATATAACTATATACAACATTGGTTCTGAAAGTGGCCTGACAGTTCTGACATTGACAGCTGACAGCCAGCATTGACAGTGATTGATTGGTTTTGTTGTGTTTTATTTATATGTATTTTTATTTACATTTTATCAGAGACAATCCAGCCTGATTTTATTCAAGAATCAAGAAATACTGTCATACCATATGAATACTGGCCTAAATTGTCTAAATTCAAAAATGCGATGAAAAAAAGACAATAAATGTAGGAAATTGCAATAATAAGCATTAGAGGGATATGCAATGGTCACCTTATTAAGCGAAATCCATTTTTGGACGACACAAGAAGATATTATCCTAAAAAATACGGATTACGGTTCATTTAAGTACGTGGTTTTTTTGTTAAATGATCTTTTATTTAACGAATTATTTCCAGGTACCACAACAAAAAGGAAGGAAATGACTTGGTAAATAGCCACAGTAAAAAGAAATATTGTGAACAGAGAGGCGTATTATGGTATCTACCAAATAAAAGACCGCAGAAACTAAAAGATAAGTTAAAAGAGTTAGAAGAGCATTTAATACATAATAGAATAGTAAATTTTAAGTTTGAAGAAAATAAATTAATATTATTACTGTCAACTGGATTATTAGTGACTATATCTGTAAATAACAAGACAGGTGATCTTACTAATATTATTTTTGATAAACAATTATCAGCCAAACTTCAAGCTAACATTATCTGTGATGGTACAATTTTCGACAACCAAGTTATTTGCATTTGCAACGACGGTCACGTATTAGGTTACGGGGGACAGTGGAAAGAGGGTTGGGTGCTAGAAGGAGGCCCTAGACGCAGACTGAATTATTACAATGAGTGGCTAGTGGTGTGGGGAAAAGCAGGAGCTGAACACCCACAACCGTGGAGTCCTTTAGCAAAAGATCATCAAAGAGCCAATTTGCATCTGTATTGGATTGGAGCTGGTGATCCTGAATTGTTGTCTTACAAGAAAACTGATGCTGAACCTTTGGAAATGGTTGTTAGCAAATTGAAACATAGGACTTTGATTGTTATCGAGCAAAAGGTGACTCAAAGAGGTAAGAAATTACTGACGTTTTCAAAAAATAAATGCTGATTATGATTAAAATTTTATGATCTAAAAATAAAACATCCAAGTTCATTTGGCACATAAATTTAAGAGCCCTTTTTTTGGGACACAAGAAAATTCTTTTATTTATTTATTAAAAGAGGTACATCTTAATATGCAATAAAAATATAAAATAATTATATAAACATAAAGTAATTATTAAAAAATATTGAATAATTATTAATTAGAGTATTATTTTTTTAAGTAAAAATAAACATCATGAGTGGTTTGTAATTCTTGTTCTAAGCAACATTTTTTTGTGATTTTTCACTATTGAGTTTGAGTTGCAAATCAATTTTCAGTTTTTGCTTTCATATGTAGGTAATGAATTGTTGATTAAGTCACAAAAAATTTATATCTGAACAGGTAAGCATCCTTGCTAAAAAAGCGTTATTCATGTACTGTTCAAAATCACTTAGTCATTTTTTTAATTTTTATTTATTTGTATTAATTTTTATTCATTTTTACTCATGTTTATTCATTTTTATTAATTTTTATTCATTTTTATTCATTTAATTCATTTTTATTCATTTTTATTCATTTTTATTCATTTTTATTCATTTAATTCATTTTTATTCATTTTTATTCATTTTTATTAATTTTTATTCATTTTTATTAATTTTTATTCATTTTTATTTATTTTTATTCATTTTAAAAATTTTAAAATTTTTTTATTAATTTTTATTAATTTTTATTAATTTTTATTAATTTTTATTAATTTTTAATAATTTTTAATAATTTTTAATAATTTATTTTTATTAATTTTTATTAATTTTTATTAATTTCTATTAATTTTTATTAATTTTTTGTTAATTAATTTTTTTTAATTTTTATTAATTTTTAAAAATTTTAAATTTTTTTTATTAATTTTTATTAATTTTTAATAATTTTTAATAATTTTTAATAATTTTTAATAATTTTTAATAATTTTTAATAATTTTTAATAATTTTTAATAATTTTTAATAATTCTTATTAATTTTTATTAATTTATTTTTATTAATCTTTATTAATTTTTATTTATTTGTATTAATTTTTATTCATTTTTACTCATGTTTATTCATTTTTATTAATTTTTATTCATTTTTATTCATTTAATTCATTTTTATTCATTTTTATTCATTTTTATTCATTTTTATTCATTTAATTCATTTTTATTCATTTTTATTCATTTTTATTCATTTTTATTCATTTTTATTCATTTTTATTCATTTTTATTCATTTTTATTCATTTTTATTCATTTTTATTCATTTTTATTCATTTTTATTAATTTTTATTCATTTTTATTTATTTTTATTCATTTTAAAAATTTTAAAATTTTTTTATTAATTTTTATTAATTTTTATTAATTTTTATTAATTTTTATTAATTTTTATTAATTTTTATTAATTTTTATTAATTTATTTTTATTAATTTTTATTAATTTTTATTAATTTCTATTAATTTTTATTAATTTTTTGTTAATTAATTTTTTTTAATTTTTATTAATTTTTAAAAATTTTAAATTTTTTTTTAATTTTTATTAATTTTTAAAAATTTTAAATTTTTTTTATTAATTTTTATTAATTTTTAATAATTTTTAATAATTTTTAATAATTTTTAATAATTTTTAATAATTTTTATTAATCTTTATTAATTTTTATTAATTTTTATTAATTTTTATTAATTTTTAATAATTTTTCTTAATTTTTATTAATTTTTATTAATTTTTATTAATTTTTATTAATTTTTATTACTTTTTATTAATTTTTATTAAATTTTATTAAATTTTGTTAATTTTTAATAATTTTTTATTAAATTTTGTTAATTTTTAATAATTTTTTATTAATTTTCACCCCTGTTTTCCCCCCTTAAAATGTGAAAATCCAAAAGCCATGACACATTATTTATTTATGATGAGAACCTACAATTCCAATTTTCAAGTTCCTACCTTTAAAAAATCGATATTTCCAAATAAACTTTCAACCTTCCCCCCCCCCCCCCGTTTCCCCCTCTTAAAAGTGAAAATCCAAAAACCCTAAAACACGTCATTATTAATTTGTACTCATTATCTGCAATTCCAATTTTCATGTTTCTAAATTCAAAGAGAATAAAAAAAGTTATACTCCCATCCGAACTTTTATCCCCGTTTGTCCCCCTTAAGATGTAAAAATATAAAAACCCTAAAACAAATTATTATTAATTTAGTAGCTGCAATTCCAATTTTTATGTTTTTAACTTTAAAGAGAACCAAAAACATGGATACTTCCAAATAAATTTTCACCCCCCATTTCCCCCCTTAAAATGTGAAAATCCAAAAATCCTGAAACACGTCATTAATAATTTGTAGTCAGTAGCTGGAATTCCAATTTTCATGTTTCTAACTTCATAAAGAACAAAAAATCGTTAGTCCCTTACAAACTTTCACCCCCCGTTTTCCCCCTTTAAAATGTTAAAAATCCAAAAACCCTGAAACACGTCATTATTTATTTATGCTCAGTAGCTGTAATTTAAATTTTCATGTTTCTAACTTTAAAGAACAAAGAGTTTCATTAAAAGCTCCCTCCCCCCATTTTCTCCCATTTCCCCCCTTTAAAGTTAAAATTTCCAAAAATCCTTTCTTGCGGATGCTTGCGTTATAAAATAAACCTATGTTACAAATTTCAGCTTTCTAGGCTCAGTAGTTTTGGATGTACGCTGATAGGTCAGTCAGTCAGTCAGGATAAACAATTTTATATATATATATATATATATATATATATATATATATATATATATATATATATACAGCTTGCGGCTATTTTGCTTCCTTTCATAAAACACACTTATTGCATCTTGCAGAAAACACCTGTTTTGCGCATTTTTTAAAGCGTATATTGAATCTGTTAAAAAAATTATACATGGAACCTAATTTTGAGAGTGAAATCTTAAAAAATAAGTATACGTTTTTTTACATTATGAAGCTATAATTGCATCCTTTCATTTCACTAACTATTTTGATTCCAGGGAGTATATAATATTACATTTTGGGACCATATTACATCCGTATATTTATAAACAAGACTTTTTTGCGTCCTGCGCAGTTGCCAATTTTTCCCAATGTAGCAATAACTCATGCCAAAAATTGAACAGTAAAATCAGAAGAATTTTTTAAAAATTTCAACGCAACAAGGTTGAAATAATGTTTTTATAAGTTTGGTTTGGTATTACTTTTACTTTCCTGTCTGTATACAGATAAGGAAAGTATAGGAATCATGATTTTTTTGACGGATTATCACGTTTTGTGGTCCCTTCAATCCGTTTTGACTATTTTCGTAATGTCTGTGTGTGCGCGTGTGTGCATGTGTGTGCGTGCGTGTGTGCGTTCGCGTGTCTGTATACTCGATAACTCATGAACGGATACAGAGAAAAGCACCAAATTTTAAACTTAAGCTTTAATCCAGCCTGCGGTAAACTGATTAGGGTCAGAGTAGGAACATCTGGGGGGTACTTTATAGGGGGTCGTTTCTATATTTTGTATCTGTTATTTACATTTGGAAAAGTATAAAATTTTAATTTTTCAGTATTTTCGTTGGCAATCAATACATATAAAAAAAATGTTTCGAGTAAGATGTATGTGGAAAATGTATATATTTAGTTTACAGTATTGATACAATAGGTTGCATAAAATAACAAAATAAAGCCTGTAATAACTGTACAGGAAAGTTATGTGTTTAACACATCTGACTTTGTTTAGTATTATAGACGCATCTAATAAATTATATTTGCCAGTTTATCAGTTATTGTACCTAATTTATTTATAAAAATTTTAATGATCTTATTAATGCTTAATTTTAGAGATAGTATTTATTTTAATTACTAACTTTTATTAGTATTAATTTCAGTTGTTATGAAAGTTTATATTGTAATATTTACTGAGGGTTTTACTTTTTGTTTCTTTGTTGTTAAATAATAAGTCTTTTAAAACATGATTTTTATTTTTTACATAATACAATATATTAAAAACTAAAATAAAAACATTAATATTTAATTACATTTATTAAAAACTTAAAACAAGACATTTTTATGTAAATGCAATAATATTAAATTAAATATTGAAGGTGTCGGAGAACAGGTGTTACAGCAAATAACGATTCCCAAATTTCACTGATGCAATGGAAAATATATAAAATAATGAAAAGTATTAAAAAAACTGATGAAACAAATTATAGGTGAAAATAGTAATAATAATAAGAAAACGAAGAAAATTCAAATAATATAACAAATAACTAAAAAATACGAAAATAATGAAATTAAGAATGGGGAAATATAAATACATTAATTTTTTTTTGTGTATAAATTTTGCACAAAAACCTTCATCTTCAGCCAATCTTTATTATTTAGCAACTTCGGATGCTTAGCTTTTAAGTCTTCGCATTCAAATCGTTTAGGAGGTTTTTTATTTTTTATATGTCTATGAAAATAATTTTTTACTATTTTTTTCTGCTCTTTGGTCCAAGGAACTAATATTCTTTTATTTTTTCTTGGCAGTGGGGCCGTTACTGCAGGATCAGGACTATTTTGAACCGCTTCAGGTTCGGTAGGGTTAGAATTTTCGTTTTCATTAAGATAAGAACTTTCATTTTCATTAAGATAAGAACTTTCATTTTCTAGATTTTCATTCAGTTCATTCTCTTCGTCATCACTTTCCATATCTGTGTTTTTCAAAAGATCTTCCTCTAAATCTATTTCGTCTAAAGTTTTTCCTTTATTTGTTCCTGCTTTGCCTTTTTCCATCAAAATTAATAATTTAGCAACTTTTGCTGTCTGGTAAACATCGTCCGGCAGGCGATATGAATTTTTATGGACACTAGATGTATGGCCCATAAACGTAGACAGTTGTTCTATTTCATTCTCATTTAAATTAAATAATTGTGTCAATGTTGCTAGATGTTTTCTTAATCTAGTGCATGTTAAAGCGTCTGGATTTTTTGCACCACAAGCTTTGGCATATTTAGCTAATACTCTATAACCTTGAATTGTTGTTGTTGTTTTGGCCTTACCAAATAAATAAGGATTTTCGTCTCCTAGAAACTCATTTCTTATTTTTAGTAACTCTTCTATATGATATTGCATATCAGTACTAAATATTACAGGTACGCCACGTCCTCTTTTGCCTCTGATGACTACTCTTTTCATATTTTTCAGTAATATTTTTTCCGTTTCGCTAACTGCTTCTTTAAATTCCTCGTAACTGTCAGCTTTCTTATTTATACTACTATAGGTATGAACCAACATACGCTGTAATTCGCCAGGGCGTTTTCTATTTAACAAAATCGTCCTGCAATATATGGTCTCTAAAAGATTATTAAAAGCAACTGCATTACCAGAATCTTGCTGTAGGAGTCGTAAAGCCTCTTTAGCTTTTAAAATTAAATGATCTTTTAATAATTTTAAATCACTTGCCAAGGGAACAATCGTTATTTTATTAAATTTTTGAATGTTCAAGTCATTGGCAGCTTGACTTGATACATCAAATCGCCAGTTAGCCTCTAGTAAGTGAATAAAAGTTTTCAAATTTGATTCATTTTTAGAATTTTCTACAGAGGGTTCATTTTTTATTAACATATAGGTTGCTATATCACAGCATTGCTTTAGGGAAGTACTGATATTCATGGCGTATGTAGGTGATATAAAGAGATCTTTTGAAGAATCATATTTTGCTACCAATTTTGTTGCCTCTACGATTTGATCATAGTATTTTGACTGAAGTGCATGAAACAGATTTTGAACTGAAGACTCAATTTTCTTTAATGTCAGTAAAAGTCTAGAGAGTTCTCTCATTTTTCTACTTGTTACATAAATTTCGTGCTTTTCTCTATGTGTTTTTAGATATCTAGCGCCGAAGGCGCATATGAGAAAATCTGACTTAGCTGCAAGAGAAATTTTGTCAGCTCTCATTCTTGGAAATACTTGCTCCTTCAAATGCTTATCAATTTTATTTTTATTATGCAGTAAAAAATTCTGCCCTTCAGCTTGGGCATTCTTAGTGCCTTCTCCTGTACATTTTTTCTTGTGCCGATATAAAAACTTAGCTCTGTAAAAACCCAAACAATTTGAACATGGCAAAAAAGTTTTATCTGATTCCACAGCTTCTCTGACAGGCTTTGTACATTTCACTGAATTTACAATATAATTTCCTTTTTTCCTTAAAAGAGCTAGAAGTTGTCTTCTCTCCTCAGATTTGATTTTTTTGGAGAATATTTTCTGCACTTCTATTTCAGACGAATGATTTCTTTCCATATGCCTTCCAAAATTCAGTATTTCAGATTCACAAAAATAGCACGTATCTTTCTTCCTTTTATATGATGTCTTGTTTCTATAAATACTATCTTTATTTTTTGTTAATTCGCGATTTATTTTATGAACCTGCATTTCTGCATCCCCACAGTCTACCTAAAATAAAAATAATTTGATAAAAGATATTTTAAAATTTTAGGATCTTATTATTTGAACTACTTTTATGCCATTAATTTACCTGTTCTTGTTGGACTAAACCAGTAGTTAAATTCGGTAAAATGTCTTTTTCCGGGATTTTTGTGTCTATTCTTATATTTTGTAGAATGTGAACCTGAAAACAAATAGATAATTAATTTCGTGAAACCTTTCTTAACTACGTTATAATACCTTTTCAAACACCCTTTCCGTATAAGTATCATCAGATAAGTTCATAGTTGAGTTCAACTTGGATTCTGAATTATTGTCTCTCACTTTGATATCAGTGACAGTTGCACCACAACTATTATCGTCAGAATCAGGAAAGTACTCAGGATCAGCATCACTGTCGTACATAGTTGAAACTGACAAACTAAACTCCGGTTCTGCGTCATCTAGCAGAAGTTGCTCCTAAAAACACGTAGTGCATAATATTTCATTAATTACTTTATTCATTATTCATTCATTATTCATTATTCATTATTCATTATTCATTATTCATTATTCATTATTCATTATTCATTATTCATTATTCATTATTCATTATTCATTATTCATTATTCATTATTCATTATTCATTATTCATTATTCATTATTCATTATTCATTATTCATTATTCATTATTCATTATTCATTATTCATTATTCATTATTCATTATTCATTATTCATTATTCATTATTCATTATTCATTATTCATTATTCATTATTCATTATTCATTATTCATTATTCATTATTCATTATTCATTATTCATTATTCATTATTCATTATTCATTATTCATTATTCATTATTCATTATTCATTATTCATTATTCATTATTCATTATTCATTATTCATTATTCATTATTCATTATTCATTATTCATTATTCATTATTCATTATTCATTATTCATTATTCATTATTCATTATTCATTATTCATTATTCATTATTCATTATTCATTATTCATTATTCATTATTCATTATTCATTATTCATTATTCATTATTCATTATTCATTATTCATTATTCATTATTCATTATTCATTATTCATTATTCATTATTCATTATTCATTATTCATTATTCATTATTCATTATTCATTATTCATTATTCATTATTCATTATTCATTATTCATTATTCATTATTCATTATTCATTATTCATTATTCATTATTCATTATTCATTATTCATTATTCATTATTCATTATTCATTATTCATTATTCATTATTCATTATTCATTATTCATTATTCATTATTCATTATTCATTATTCATTATTCATTATTCATTATTCATTATTCATTATTCATTATTCATTATTCATTATTCATTATTCATTATTCATTATTCATTATTCATTATTCATTATTCATTATTCATTATTCATTATTCATTATTCATTATTCATTATTCATTATTCATTATTCATTATTCATTATTCATTATTCATTATTCATTATTCATTATTCATTATTCATTATTCATTATTCATTATTCATTATTCATTATTCATTATTCATTATTCATTATTCATTATTCATTATTCATTATTCATTATTCATTATTCATTATTCATTATTCATTATTCATTATTCATTATTCATTATTCATTATTCATTATTCATTATTCATTATTCATTATTCATTATTCATTATTCATTATTCATTATTCATTATTCATTATTCATTATTCATTATTCATTATTCATTATTCATTATTCATTATTCATTATTCATTATTCATTATTCATTATTCATTATTCATTATTCATTATTCATTATTCATTATTCATTATTCATTATTCATTATTCATTATTCATTATTCATTATTCATTATTCATTATTCATTATTCATTATTCATTATTCATTATTCATTATTCATTATTCATTATTCATTATTCATTATTCATTATTCATTATTCATTATTCATTATTCATTATTCATTATTCATTATTCATTATTCATTATTCATTATTCATTATTCATTATTCATTATTCATTATTCATTATTCATTATTCATTATTCATTATTCATTATTCATTATTCATTATTCATTATTCATTATTCATTATTCATTATTCATTATTCATTATTCATTATTCATTATTCATTATTCATTATTCATTATTCATTATTCATTATTCATTATTCATTATTCATTATTCATTATTCATTATTCATTATTCATTATTCATTATTCATTATTCATTATTCATTATTCATTATTCATTATTCATTATTCATTATTCATTATTCATTATTCATTATTCATTATTCATTATTCATTATTCATTATTCATTATTCATTATTCATTATTCATTATTCATTATTCATTATTCATTATTCATTATTCATTATTCATTATTCATTATTCATTATTCATTATTCATTATTCATTATTCATTATTCATTATTCATTATTCATTATTCATTATTCATTATTCATTATTCATTATTCATTATTCATTATTCATTATTCATTATTCATTATTCATTATTCATTATTCATTATTCATTATTCATTATTCATTATTCATTATTCATTATTCATTATTCATTATTCATTATTCATTATTCATTATTCATTATTCATTATTCATTATTCATTATTCATTATTCATTATTCATTATTCATTATTCATTATTCATTATTCATTATTCATTATTCATTATTCATTATTCATTATTCATTATTCATTATTCATTATTCATTATTCATTATTCATTATTCATTATTCATTATTCATTATTCATTATTCATTATTCATTATTCATTATTCATTATTCATTATTCATTATTCATTATTCATTATTCATTATTCATTATTCATTATTCATTATTCATTATTCATTATTCATTATTCATTATTCATTATTCATTATTCATTATTCATTATTCATTATTCATTATTCATTATTCATTATTCATTATTCATTATTCATTATTCATTATTCATTATTCATTATTCATTATTCATTATTCATTATTCATTATTCATTATTCATTATTCATTATTCATTATTCATTATTCATTATTCATTATTCATTATTCATTATTCATTATTCATTATTCATTATTCATTATTCATTATTCATTATTCATTATTCATTATTCATTATTCATTATTCATTATTCATTATTCATTATTCATTATTCATTATTCATTATTCATTATTCATTATTCATTATTCATTATTCATTATTCATTATTCATTATTCATTATTCATTATTCATTATTCATTATTCATTATTCATTATTCATTATTCATTATTCATTATTCATTATTCATTATTCATTATTCATTATTCATTATTCATTATTCATTATTCATTATTCATTATTCATTATTCATTATTCATTATTCATTATTCATTATTCATTATTCATTATTCATTATTCATTATTCATTATTCATTATTCATTATTCATTATTCATTATTCATTATTCATTATTCATTATTCATTATTCATTATTCATTATTCATTATTCATTATTCATTATTCATTATTCATTATTCATTATTCATTATTCATTATTCATTATTCATTATTCATTATTCATTATTCATTATTCATTATTCATTATTCATTATTCATTATTCATTATTCATTATTCATTATTCATTATTCATTATTCATTATTCATTATTCATTATTCATTATTCATTATTCATTATTCATTATTCATTATTCATTATTCATTATTCATTATTCATTATTCATTATTCATTATTCATTATTCATTATTCATTATTCATTATTCATTATTCATTATTCATTATTCATTATTCATTATTCATTATTCATTATTCATTATTCATTATTCATTATTCATTATTCATTATTCATTATTCATTATTCATTATTCATTATTCATTATTCATTATTCATTATTCATTATTCATTATTCATTATTCATTATTCATTATTCATTATTCATTATTCATTATTCATTATTCATTATTCATTATTCATTATTCATTATTCATTATTCATTATTCATTATTCATTATTCATTATTCATTATTCATTATTCATTATTCATTATTCATTATTCATTATTCATTATTCATTATTCATTATTCATTATTCATTATTCATTATTCATTATTCATTATTCATTATTCATTATTCATTATTCATTATTCATTATTCATTATTCATTATTCATTATTCATTATTCATTATTCATTATTCATTATTCATTATTCATTATTCATTATTCATTATTCATTATTCATTATTCATTATTCATTATTCATTATTCATTATTCATTATTCATTATTCATTATTCATTATTCATTATTCATTATTCATTATTCATTATTCATTATTCATTATTCATTATTCATTATTCATTATTCATTATTCATTATTCATTATTCATTATTCATTATTCATTATTCATTATTCATTATTCATTATTCATTATTCATTATTCATTATTCATTATTCATTATTCATTATTCATTATTCATTATTCATTATTCATTATTCATTATTCATTATTCATTATTCATTATTCATTATTCATTATTCATTATTCATTATTCATTATTCATTTATTTCATTATTCATTATTCATTATTCATTATTCATTATTCATTATTCATTATTCATTATTCATTATTCATTATTCATTATTCATTATTCATTATTCATTATTCATTATTCATTATTCATTATTCATTATTCATTATTCATTATTCATTATTCATTATTCATTATTCATTATTCATTATTCATTATTCATTATTCATTATTCATTATTCATTATTCATTATTCATTATTCATTATTCATTATTCATTATTCATTATTCATTATTCATTATTCATTATTCATTATTCATTATTCATTATTCATTATTCATTATTCATTATTCATTATTCATTATTCATTATTCATTATTCATTATTCATTATTCATTATTCATTATTCATTATTCATTATTCATTATTCATTATTCATTATTCATTATTCATTATTCATTATTCATTATTCATTATTCATTATTCATTATTCATTATTCATTATTCATTATTCATTATTCATTATTCATTATTCATTATTCATTATTCATTATTCATTATTCATTATTCATTATTCATTATTCATTATTCATTATTTAATAAATTTACTTTAAACTATAAAAGAACTTACCCTTGATGTCTGGCTATCTTTTCCTTTAACTGAAACAGGAGACAGTGGCCTGTTGCAAAACCAATTTTTGTTTTTTTTTTGACGCATAGAACTTGCAACCTTCCTAATAAAATAAAATATATAATTACACATAAAAATATTGCAACTTAATAAATGCAGTATTATTTACCTTGTCTATAAAAAATGGATAATTCGACATTTTTCTTAAAGCACACCTGAAATGAATTGAACGCAGTGAATCCCAAATCCAAACTATATACTACACGGAAAACGATGAACCGGTAGCAGTTGAACTGAGCGCAGTGAATCCCAAATCCAAACTGTGTATTACGTGAAAAACGGTAACAGATGTAAATATATTACAGCGTTGCCAATAGTTGGAATCAATATAGTGCGTAAACTGTAAGGCGTATATAGGTAGATGTATATTATTTGGAGCTCTAGCGGAAAAACTCGGAACTTTTTTTCGTATATTATTTGTTACTTTACTAACTATATTGACTCCGCTGGAATTGTCATTTGAGCATGTTAGAGGTGGAAGAATGATACAAAAATGTAACACATAAATCAGAAGAACATAACGGTATCATCCTTATTCATTAGGAGGCGCTATGATCATTATTAACAGAGAAAATGGATAAAAACTATATTGCTTCCGACATACGGTAGCAATATAGTCGGGGAAGCAATATGTAATGTGATGACTCCCATATATGGAAGCAAGATAGTGCTAAGGTTAAATATATATATATATATATATATATATATATATATATATAGGTAATCGTACGTTGAGGCGCCAAAATCGCATTTATATGGACGAAGTGGCACCTATATTTACGTTGTTGCACCATTGCAAGGTGCTAGAACGTTTTATTGCATATTTGGCCTTTTTAACACCTTACTAACCCCCCTACCAAATTTCAGAAAGGTGCCTTTTCGACCATTTTTCTATAAAAACACGATTTTAGTTGAACCGTATACTCCCCAGAGGTCAGGCCGGTCGCTCACAACGCTCAGACGTTTACGACGTAGTGGCACCTCGCGAGTAAAAATACTTCCTTACTTTGTGGCACCTCACTTTGTATATATTTTCTTACTTCGTGGCACCCCAGTTTGTTTTCGTAAGTGAACGTAAGAGCACCTTAGGTCCTTTGGTGAAAATACCGGCTAAAATATATGTTGACGAACAAAAGAATATTATAATGTATTATGTATTATAATGTATGATTCAATTCCAAATTTGACAATATAAATTTACTTTTCCAGTGCTAAAATAAAATAATATAAATAAATTAAAATAAATTATATTAAAATAAATTAAAATAAATTAAAATAAATTAAAATAAATTAAAATAAATTAAAATAAATTAAAATAAATTAAAATAAATTAAAATAAATTAAAATAAATTAAAATAAATTAAAATAAATTAAAATAAATTAAAATAAATTAAAATAAATTAAAATAAATTAAAATAAATTAAAATAAATTAAAATAAATTAAAATAAATTAAAATAAATTAAAATAAATTAAAATAAATTAAAATAAATTAAAATAAATTAAAATAAATTAAAATAAATTAAAATAAATTAAAATAAATTAAAATAAATTAAAATAAATTAAAATAAATTAAAATAAATTAAAATAAATTAAAATAAATTAAAATAAATTAAAATAAATTAAAATAAATTAAAATAAATTAAAATAAATTAAAATAAATTAAAATAAATTAAAATAAATTAAAATAAATTAAAATAAATTAAAATAAATTAAAATAAATTAAAATAAATTAAAATAAATTAAAATAAATTAAAATAAATTAAAATAAATTAAAATAAATTAAAATAAATTAAAATAAATTAAAATAAATTAAAATAAATTAAAATAAATTAAAATAAATTAAAATAAATTAAAATAAATTAAAATAAATTAAAATAAATTAAAATAAATTAAAATAAATTAAAATAAATTAAAATAAATTAAAATAAATTAAAATAAATTAAAATAAATTAAAATAAATTAAAATAAATTAAAATAAATTAAAATAAATTAAAATAAATTAAAATAAATTAAAATAAATTAAAATAAATTAAAATAAATTAAAATAAATTAAAATAAATTAAAATAAATTAAAATAAATTAAAATAAATTAAAATAAATTAAAATAAATTAAAATAAATTAAAATAAATTAAAATAAATTAAAATAAATTAAAATAAATTAAAATAAATTAAAATAAATTAAAATAAATTAAAATAAATTAAAATAAATTAAAATAAATTAAAATAAATTAAAATAAATTAAAATAAATTAAAATAAATTAAAATAAATTAAAATAAATTAAAATAAATTAAAATAAATTAAAATAAATTAAAATAAATTAAAATAAATTAAAATAAATTAAAATAAATTAAAATAAATTAAAATAAATTAAAATAAATTAAAATAAATTAAAATAAATTAAAATAAATTAAAATAAATTAAAATAAATTAAAATAAATTAAAATAAATTAAAATAAATTAAAATAAATTAAAATAAATTAAAATAAATTAAAATAAATTAAAATAAATTAAAATAAATTAAAATAAATTAAAATAAATTAAAATAAATTAAAATAAATTAAAATAAATTAAAATAAATTAAAATAAATTAAAATAAATTAAAATAAATTAAAATAAATTAAAATAAATTAAAATAAATTAAAATAAATTAAAATAAATTAAAATAAATTAAAATAAATTAAAATAAATTAAAATAAATTACAATAAATTAAAATAAATTAAAATAAATTAAAATAAATTAAAAAAAAATTAAAATAAAATTATTTTTATGTTTTGCAATATTATGTAAAGAGAAAACTAGTGGTCATTTTTTTAATATCTATTTTTTTTATTTATCTTAGAACTGACCAGTATTTGTTATAATAATACTTTCCCTAATTCAATCTCACGAGTAAATTTCCTGAAGCCGACTGAGCCTGTGACGGCTATTATTTTTATTTGCCGTGGCGCTCAGTGACTTAGAGATGATTTATAGGGCTATTTGACCTAAATGTGAAGAAAACCCGAAAAACCTCAAGCATTATCATCGAGGCGGTAAAGCATGGCGAATTTGTAATATGGATGTCATATTAATAAAAATTAAATTACTGAATACGGCATACACCAAATTCTATAACGAACCATACAAATTATTTACAAATTCACCTGTTTTGCCGTAGAATTCGAAGCCGTTTGTCTCTCAATTATAAAATTGCCTACAAGTAAATATAAATGCCTTAGACAACTACGCTACCGAGCCAACTATGTTGTTTTTGTATTACTTAAACTGATATGGTGTATTACATTACGAGTATGAAAATTGAAATTTTTTACTCGAGTGGGACACAAGTGTATAAAATTACTTTCTCACAAGTGATTTACAATATTTTTCCTACGACTACAAATTCATCTTATAAAAAAAATCAGGAAATCTGGCTATAAAGTTCAATCAAAATGTGTCTGGTTTTTTTATATGCTTTAATAAATAAGTTTTATAGCGTTTTACCTCTTGTGTTTTGTCGCAATTAAAAACTTAATTTTATTTATAAAGACTTTCATAGGATAATAACGGTGAAATAACATTAGATTACTTTAAATTTTTTGCAGAACAATAATCAAAATGGTACAAAATAAATAGCGAAAAGAAAAGATCGGCCATAAGAATATTGAAAAGTACCTATTTAAAATAAATAACAAAACACGTATTTTTTCAATTTTCATATTTAAAAAAAAAGACGTTGCTTCCATTGCGCCGCGATATGGTCGAAACATGCAAAATTAATAAAATTGAGCGCTCTGAGAACTGAGCTAACAAGCTTGTCGCATAAATTATCTAATCAAATATATAAATAAAAAAAAATAAAAACATTACTTTAAAATTATTTTAATAATTTGTTAATAATAATTATCTAGAATCTAGATATAGAAATCAATATTCACGATTTAAATTTACTATCTTGTGGCATAATAAATACGTCAATATTCTTTATGCAAATATTAGTAATGACCTTAAATCCTCTAAAACATGGTGTACTGCAAATTTTCTTTCATTAAATTTAAAAAAAATACAAAAATGCTAAACTTTAAATGTAATATTCCTGATATTTTAATAGATATGGATACTGTGGAAGTCACAAACTGTACAAAATTTTTGGGTTTAAATATCGACACGGATTTTAAATTCAAATCACATGTGGGTCCACTTTTAAAAAACTCGCATCGGGTTGTTATGTCATTAGAACTACCTCTCATGAATTAGGAGCTTGTGCAGCAAAAACTGCATATTATACGTTAGTTGACTCTCATTTACGTTATGCTATTTAGTTTTTGGGGAGTCTGTTCTGTCGAATTATTTGGTAGAGTCTTTATAATGCAGAAACGGGCAATAAGGTTCTTATGTGGAGTACACAGATTAGTTTCTTGTAGACCGCTGTTCTTACAAGAAATATAAACATTACCTTCTTTATTTATCTTAAAAACTTGTTGCATGATCCATAACAAAAAGTCGAAATATAAATCAAATTCCCGTGTAACTCGCCAAACGAGTAACTTGAAATTGCCTATTCCCAAAATTGAACTTATAAGAGACTGCCAAGTACGGAAGCATCTCCATATCATGGGGCTGTCAAGATCCGCACTCTGCAGAGGGTGCAAGAAGATTAGACCATCGAGCATATCCTTTACGATTGCTCGACGCTCTTATTTATTAGAATATTTGTGTTCAGCGAGTATTGGTTAACCCAGCCGATATAAGAGAAGCAATTCTTGGCAACGTTTTCAACTATATTAAATCTGTAGGCTGGCTCATGAGCTAAGAGGTGCCTGTCATCTTAGGAGGATGCACAATGGGCCTAATAAGGCCTAAGTGCTGTGGAAGTAACCCACCCTCCACACGTTACAGATCATAGATGCCCTTAACGTTTGTACTTTCTTAAAATAAATGTATAAATACAACAGTAGCTATAATTAATTCATATCAAATTAACTACGATTTTTAGATGCTTTCATACTTATGTATATCACTGGTAATTCCCACTATTCCGGTATCGGTTCTTTAGTTTAATTTTCTATAAATTGAAACCATACATTTTTAAAATTGATTGCAAAAGATAATGCTTAATATCAACGGTGACACATAGTACAGAAGTCACCCCAACCAAACTTATCACATACCAAAATCCTAAAATTTGGCTTGGAAGCCAACGTGTTAAAAGCAAACGTTACACCATCAAGTTCTACTCATTCTCAAGCTAACAAATTTGTTTTTCGTCAACTTTTATTTAATATGATATATATGGAGCCAGAAGGTATATATGTACTAATTATATATACATATATAGGGTGCTAGAATGTATATATGTATAAACCATATATAAGGAGCCATTTGGTCAAATTAAGTGCCAAAAATTCCGGGTGCGAGAACGATTAAATAGTTTTTGGTGTGACTTCGTCGTTTTACCTGTATATATATATATATATATATATATATATATATATATATATATATACAGGTAAAACGACGAAGTGACACCAAAAACTATTTAATCGTTCTCGCACCCGGAATTTTTCGCACTTAATTTGACTAAATGGCTCCTTATATATGGTTTATACATATATACATTCTAGCACCCTATATATGTATATATAATTAGTACATATATACCTTCTAGCTCCATATATATCATATTAAATAAAAGTTGACGAAAAACAAATTTGTTAGCTTGAGAATGAGTAGAACTTGATGGTGTGACGTTTGCTTTTAACACGTTGGCTTCCGAGTTAAATTTCAGGATTTTGGTATGTGATAAGTTTGGTTTGGGTGACTTCTATACCGTGTGACACCGTTGATATTGAGCATTTTTTTTTCAATCAATTTTAAAAATGTATGGTTTTAATTTAAAGAAATTTAAACTAAGGAACCGATACTGGAATAGTGGAAATTGCCAGTGATATACATAAGTATGTAAACATCTAAAAATCGTAGTTTAGTTTGATATGAATTAATGATAGCTACTGTTATATTTATACATTTATTTTAACAAAACAAATACAATGTACAAACGTTAAGGGCATCTGTAATCTGTAACGTGTGGAGGGTGGGTTCCCTCCACAGAACTTAGGCCTTATTAGGCCCATTGTGCATCCTCCTAAGATGATAGGCACCTCCTAGCTCGTGAGCCAGCCTACAGATTTAATATAGTTGACAACTTCGCCAAGAGGTGCTTCTCTTATATCGGCCGGGTTAGCCGATACTCGCCGAACACAAATCTTCTAATAAATGAGAGCGTCAAGCAATCGTAAAGAATATGCTCGATGGTCTCATCTTCTTGCTCGCGCCCTCTGCAGAGTACGGATCCTGACAGCCCCATGATATGGAGATGCTTCCGTAATTGGCAGAGTTCAGTTTTGGGAATAGGCAACTTCAAGTTACCCGTTTCGCGAGTTACACGGGATATATTCGATTTATATTTCGACTTGTTCTTATGGATCATGCAACAAGTTTCTAAGAAAAATAAAGAAGGTAATGTTATTATTTCTTGTTTTAAGAACAGCGGTCTACATGAAACTAATCTGTGTGCTCCACATAAGAACCTTATTGCCCGTTTCTGCATTATAAGGACTCTACCAAATAATTCGGCAGAACAGACTCCCCAAAACTGAACAGCATAACGTAAATGAGAGTCAACTAACGCATAATATGCAGTTTTTATTATGCCACAAGATAGTAAATTTAAATCGTGAATATTTATTTCTATACCTAGATTCTAAATAATTATTTTTAACAAATTATTAAAACAATTTTAAGGTAATATTATTTTTTTTATTTTTTTTTTGTTTATATATTTGATTGGATAATTTATGTGACAAGCTTGTAAGCTCAGTTCACAGAGCGCTCAATTTTATCAACTTTGCATGTTTCGACAATATCGCGACGAAATGGAAGCAACGTCTTTTTTTTTAAATATGAAAATTAAAAATACGAGTTTTGTTATTTATTTTAAATAGGTACTTTTTATTAATCTTATGTCCGAGCTTTTCTTTTCGCTATTTATTTTGTACTGTTTTGATTATTGTTCAGCAAAAAATTTAAAGTAGAATTACAAGAAAGTTCTTCTTCACGATTGTTCATCTTATTATATATTGTTTTTGAAAAAAAAAAAAAATGAACTAATATTTTATTTTTTTTTCACCTGTAAGTCAAATGGAACTATCAATCATCTTTAAGTCGCCTCGAAACGCCAGGGCAAATAACAATAATAGCCGTCCCTTTCCCCGCACAAGCTCAGCTTTTGGGTTTAAAATTCACTCGTAAGGGGGTGAATTAGGGAGAGTATTATTATTATTATTATTATTATTATTATTTATACCTAATGTAATTTCACCGTTATTATCCTATGAAAGTGATTATAAATGAAATTAAGTTTTTAATTACGACAAAACACAATAGGTAAAACGCTATAAAAATTATTTATTAAGGCATATAAAAAAAACCAGCCACATTTTGATTGAACTTTATAGCCAGATTTCCTGATTTTAAACTTTTTTTTATAAAATGAATTTTTAGTCGTAGGAAAAATATTGTACATCCCTTGTGTAAAAGTGATTTTATACACTTGTGTCCCACTCGAGTAAAAAATTTCAATTTTCATACTTGTAATACGCTATATCAGTTTAAGTAATACAAAAACAACATAGTTGGCTCGGTAGCGTAGTTGTCTAAGGCGTTTATATTCACTTGTAGGCAATTTTGTGGTTGAGAGACAGAAGGCTTAGAATCCTACGGCAAACCAAGTGAATTTTTAATTAATTTGCATGGTTCGTTATAGATTTGGTGTGTGCCGTATTTGCAGTAATTTAAGTTCTATTACAAATTCGCCATGCTTTACCGCTTTGATGATAATGCTTGAGGTTTTTCGGGTTTTCTTCACCTTTAAGTCAAATAGCTCTATAAATCATCCTTAAGTCACTGAGTCACTGAGCGCCATAAAAACAATAGCCGTCCCTTCCCCACACAGGCTTAGTCGGCTTTAGGAAATTTACTCGCGAGATTGAATTAGGGAAAGTATTATTAAAATACTTGTTAATTCTAAGATAATTAAACAAAATAAATATTAAAAAAATGATCACTAGTTTTCATTTTACTTTATTGCAAAACATAAAAATAATTTATTTTATTTTTTTCATTATTTTAATTTATTTTAATTTATTTTAATTTATTTTAATTTATTTTAATTTATTTTAATTTATTTTAATTTATTTTAATTTATTTTAATTTATTTTAATTTATTTTAATTTATTTTAATTTATTTTAATTTATTTTAATTTATTTTAATTTATTTTAATTTATTTTAATTTATTTTAATTTATTTTAATTTATTTTAATTTATTTTAATTTATTTTAATTTATTTTAATTTATTTTAATTTATTTTAATTTATTTTAATTTATTTTAATGTATGTTAATTTATTTTAATGTATGTTAATTTATTTTAATTTATTTATCTTAATTAATTTTATCACTCGAAAAGTAAATTTATATTGTCAAATTTGGAATTGAATCATACATATTATAATATTCTTTTGGTCGTCGGTATTTGGGATATTTTTACCAAAGGACCTAAGGTGCTCTTACGTTCACTTACGAAAACAAACTGGGGTGCCACAAAGTAAGAAAATGTATACAAAGTGAGGTGCCACAAAGTAAGAAAGCATTTTTACATGCGAGGTGCCACTACGTCGTAAAAGTCTGAGCGTTGTTAGCGACTGGCCTGACCTCTGGGGAGTATACGGTTCAACTAAAATCGTGTTTTTATAGAAAAATGGTCGAAATGGCACCTTTCTGAAATTTGGTAGAGGGGTTAGTAAGGAGTTAAAACGACCAAATATGCAATAAAACGATCTGGCACCTTGCAATGGTGCAACAACGTAAATATAGGTGCCACTTCGCCCATATAAATGCGTTTTTGGTGCCTCAACGTACGATTACCTATATATATATATATATATATATATATATATATATATATATATATATATATATATATATATATATATATCTATATATATATATAGAAGTGATTCCAGAACCAATCCTTGTGGGATTCTTATATTAATAGACTCTGTATTTGAGGGGCTGTCTTTATAAAAGACTTACATGTGAAACTGCACCAGTTTGTTGATTTATTTTGCCTGAATCAGTATTGACTAGTACTAAAAAATGTAATATATTTTTTTTGGTTCAGTGAATTATTTTAGAAAATAGTTAGCTCAAAACAAATAACTTTTAGGTGCCGTCTCAGTGGAAATCAGCAACTTTGAGCTAGTGGGTACCAATTTAAAAAGAATATCAGTTACATCAGTACCGCTCCAAACCCAAGTTAGTTGCTTAGCTTTGAGCAAACTCGAGGACCGTTTACTCATCTGTTGTATAGATGGATCACTAGCGCTTCTAGATCGTAACAGAGGTTCCACCAGAACCGTTAAAGCAGGTTTTATACCTACTTTACTAGATTGGCATCCAGATGGCGCAGTAGTTGCTGTAGCGAATGATAGAGGACAGTTACAATATTATGACACAGCGTTAAATTGTATAAAAAGTCAGTTTTTAAACGAAGATTGCCTTCCTTCGCCTATAGTTAATCTATCTATCTATTTCAATCAACATTTCAGCATTGCTTCTATAAATTGGGGATCTAAAGATCTGATTATCGCATTTGAACAAGGTCCAATAGCTACGATAACGCACGTTAACAAATCTTTAAATTTCAAAGCTCTGACACAGAATTATTTGAGTTTGGGCAAGGTGGATAAGGCTATAAAGTTATTGCTGTCTTGGGAGTTTAGGGAAGACAGTTTTTTCGCTCTACAAAGGATAGTTGCGCATCTGATGCGATCGCCTTTGAATGAAGAGGTTGCGCATCACTTGCAGAACGCTTTGGGATGTTATCATAACAGTCCTGTGCCGATTAGGTCGCAGATTAGGCATCGGTACGACAGTCAAGTAAGTCATGCATTCAAATTTTCGAAATATTTTTCATTGATTGTAATTCTTGAATAAAATAAGTTTAAGGCGGATATTTTAGTGTAATTAACATTTAACATAATTTCGTATGGAATTTATCTTTTACTGCATGGATTTTAGTGAAAATTTGGCAGCTTATAGTAGAAATGATTAATAATATTTATTTATTATTTCCTTTATTTAGCTAGTTTGCTAATATCACAATATACAAATTTAGTAAAAATATACATATAAGTCAAAACAAATAATTTAAATACAATTAAAACTAATTAAAATTCTATAGGTTTCACTTAGTAACGAAGAAATTTCACACTGGATATCACTCACAATGGTCAGATAATAAATTGAGTTTTAATTTGATGAAAAACAACTAATAAGTCCGTGGTTTTCCGTCTGAAAATCAGGATTTTGTAGGAGCGAAATAAATTCAACATATACGAAGGTTCTTTCATTAAAAAAATTTAGACCTTTCTTTCAACAGGTTATTTCTTTGACAAGACGTTTTTTCCACCAATTAGTCAGATCGGAAATGTTCGAAACGGCTTTCCTCTTAGCCGTAGACGTCGGCCATCACGATCTCTTCATGGATCTCCACTATATCGCCGTCAAAATAGGAGAGACCGAAATGGCAGCTGCCGCAAGAGCTCAAGCGTCTGCGCTACTAAGCAGATGTTCGAGCGAAAGTAAGACTATTATAGCTTTAGGTTAATTTAAATAAAACCGATTATCTTTCAGCTTCCAATTGTTCCCGATCGTCGTGCTCTCAATGCTCGGAAACGGAAAGCAGTTCCAGCGAGGAAAGCTCCTTCGAAAACCAACCCGATACTCAAGAAACGGGGATTAAAACGCCGTACGTTCCACCCTTACCGCTCAATTCTGATAACTGTTTAGCAACGGATTTTAATCAACCCGATCCGACAACGTACAAACCGGCAACAGGCGTACCTACAGCGCCACCTATTACTTCATATTTGAACGATTGTTTCCGGTTTAATTATACGCCTCGCGCTACTTACGTTAAATCACCTCAAGTGCCTAGTAGTTTTAATAAAGTAGCGCTACCTAGTACTCCTGTTGTTGCTAGTAACGTATCCATAATGCCGCCACCAATACCGTTCACAGTACCGATTTCTAGCGCAGGTGTTTTACCCTACATGCACAGTACTTCGTTCGGGGAAAGTTTCAACGCAAATCCGATCGTTAGCAACGCTTTTTCTTTAAACGGTAACATATTCGGCAACGCTGCGATGCAGAGCACTTCATTTATGACGAACAGTAAATTCCCCGGTGCTCATATCTCGGATTATTCTATAAATAACACGAAGAAACCTCCGTTACCGACAGGAAAAGTTCCAGCGTCGGTTATACCCAAATTGAATCATACTGAAGATCTGATATCGTTTAATACAGCTTCGAATTGTGTTATTAATAAGAAACATCAACCGAAAGTGAAATTTTCCGATACAGTCACAGCGTTTATCGTACCTGAAATTAAAAGGCCGCAACGGCCCGTGCCTCCGTCTCACGTGACCGATCCGCAAAAGGAGTTGGCCGATAGTTTGCCGTTGTGCCATCCGAACGAGGATTATTTGAAGGATTTTACGCCTGTTAAAAAAGAGGATGGCAGCGAGGAAAGCGAGAGCGAGAAACCTAAAATTAAGGTAATACATTTCGGAGTTGTGTAACGGGTTGTTTTCGATATACAGTCAACTCTTGTTAATTCAAACCTGCGAAAATTCGAACCTCTCTATAATTCAAAGTCATTACGAGTTCCCTACAAAATCTCTTTATATTTCGAACTAAATCAATACATTTTCATGCACTTGGTAATTCGAACGAAACAATCATTGCTATATAACAAAACGACGCGTTAATTCGAACTCATTGGCGTCCAACACTCGACAATTCAAAGTTGCAGAGAGAAAGAGACGTAAAAATTGTAAGTTCATACGTACATTTTGCGACAAGTTCAAACTTGTATCAACGTACACGAGTCTTTGTTTTTGTTATGACTAGTTTGACTATTTGACACGCCTTCTCACGAATGGGTTTGTTTAGTTATCATTCAGTTACTGTTACTCTTTCGTTGGTGTACAGATTAAAAGTTTGTCGTAGTTATGAGCCCTAGAAAGTATAAATGTTTGACGATTGCTGAAAAGAAGTTAATCGAAAAAGTAGAGGAAGGTAAGAAGAAAAGTGATGTTGCAAAAGAATTTAAGATTCCTCTGAGTACTCTCTCAACCATAATAAAGCACAAGGAGAAAATTAATGCTGCTCAAACTGCTGGAGTACGGAAAAGAACTACTAAAGGTGAATTTCCTCGTCTGGAAGAAAGCCTGGTCATTTGGCGTAGACAGTGTAGAGGACAAAAAGTGTCTATTAGCGGAAACTTGTTGAAGGAAAAAGCAAAAGAGTTCGCGTCTACTCTAAACATCAAAAACTTTGCGGCAAGTGAAGGGTGGCTTACAAATTTCAAAAAGAGAAATGGAATTGTGTTTAAAAAAGTTTGTGGGGAAAGTGGAAGTGTTGATGATGCAGTTTGCTTAGATTGGCACGGTAAATTGAAGACCTTGATTGAAAACTATGATGCCCGAGACATTTTTAATACTGATGAAACTGGCCTATTTTTCAAATGTTTACCGGACAAGATGCTTACTTTTAAAGATGAAAAATGTCATGGGGGAAAACATAGTAAAGAGAGGTTGACAGTTTTACTTGCAGTAAATATGGACGGATCGGAAAAACTTAAACCCTTAGTGATAGGAAAAGCAATGAAACCGCGATGTTTCAAAGGAGTGAAATCGTTTCCTACTGATTATCGTGCTAACAAAAAAGCTTGGATGACGACAGAACTTTTTAACAATTGGCTTTTAACAGTTAATGGGGACATGAAACGACAAAAGCGGAAAATTTTACTATTTTTAGACAATTGCACTGTCCACAACAGTCCCCCTGCATTGTCCAACGTGGAACTCTACTTCTTTCCGCCAAATACAACTTCCAAATTGCAACCATTGGACCAAGGGATCATCCATAATTTTAAGACGTTCTATCGCAAAGAAATTGTTAAGCTCGTTTTAGAATCTCTCGACAAGCATCTAACTGCAAATATCACGGTTCTGACAGCTATTTTACTGATTGACAAGGCATGGAGATCTGTAACACCCCTAACGATTCTCAATTGCTTCAAAAAATCTGGTTTCTTAAAAGAAGATCTTCCAATACTTATGGATGATGAAGAACCAGCAATAGAACCATTAGTTGAAATTAGCGGTGTGAGTTTTTCTGACTTTGTTCAAGTGGATCAAGATGTTGCTGTCTCAGGTTCACTAACCGATAGCGAAATTTTATCTGCGACAGATACGAATGAAAAAAGTAATGATGATGAGGGCGATACCTCAGAACCTTTGGCAGAGGTGTCAGTTAAGGAAGCAAGGTCCTCATTTGATACCTTACAAAGCTTCTGTCTTCAAAACGAAAGTGATGAAAAAGCATTTCAGGCACTTTTTCTGTTAAAAAAAATTATTGAGCAGGCTGAGCAGCAGCAACATGCTTTGAAGCAAACCAGTATAACAGAGTTCTTTCGAAAGATTAATTAATTCACATTATGAATACATGTATGTATGTGCACGAATGTGCCTCTAAACTTTTGACATTGTTATAGAATAGCAGTTAATAAATAATAATTGATCAACACTTAATAATTCGAAGTTTTATTTATTTTCTCTCACAAATTTCGAACCATTGATATTTCAACACTCGATAATTCGTAATAATTTAAGAGTCCCTCCAGTTTCGAATTAACGAGAGTCGACTGTACGTGGTAATTTAGTCGACAATCATTAAACGATTTCAGTTTGGGTTATTAAGTATTAATTGAATCCCAAGTTGGTTTATTGTAAACGTTCTATTTATATTCAGTGGATGTCAATTATTGGTTACTTTTATATACAGTGTGTCCCAAAAAAAGTTTTATACAAATAAGAAAAATGTTTCATATATTTCACTAAAAAAATTGTTCTGCATTTCTTGCAAATCCGTTTTTTCCGTTTGTATAAAACTTTTTGAAACACCCTGTATACTATTCTATTTTGTAATTTACAAAATTCCGCCCTGATTTTATTTACAACGATATATATTTGATATTATTTATTTTATTTATTTTTTTGTACTCAATACTCAATTTTTTATAATAAAATTTCATACCTAGTTTGTTTTAATGTTCTAATTTATTAATTATCACTGGTGAGTATAAAAATAGTATTTTTTCTATGAAATATGTGTTAAATTGATTTCAACACTTTTGTACTTATGTATATTAGATACATTGCGCATCCTCCAGGTTCCAAGTGACTTATTCTCTTAGTCTACTGTGATAAAGTAGTTTTGATATAATGCAATGCCTGTTGCGGTATTAGCCAAGAGAGTAGTTGTTTTCTAGAAAGAAATAGTCGCTCGTTGTTTCTATAACACCACGGTCTTTCATCAAGGTTTAGTATGTTTTTAGTTTTATATCTATTTTATATTTTACATTTTATTTTTCAAATAGTCTGCTATAGAAATTCTTTTCAGCATAGAAAGTAGTTAACAAAACGGCCGAAAGATATTTCTCGTTTAAAATAGTCAATAACTTCACTGAAAGGTGTCTCTGTATTCTCTTTCCCATTGTTTTTAATCGGATCTTTTGACAGGCAGATCGTAACTTGCTCTTCCAATTAATGCATGTCGTGACGACCCATGATATACAGTTTGTAAGTATAAATAACGCTTGTATTATCATCCCCATAAGAAGTTGTTACCGATCTACATGTCCCAATATCCGACGGTTGAAAATTGGTTTAAAACTGCTTTGAGCAATCTATATAACTATATTATTGACTGTCAAAGCCCACGGAACGATTGGCCGGAAGGGTGCTTGAATATGGCGGTCTAGTGTTTCCAGTGACGTTTTGTTATAAGAGGGTATAAAATTTAAGGAAATATCAATGTAAATAGGTCTTTTCCTTTGCATCGAAAGTGTAGGACTTCTGAAAATATCGTTCCATTTATACAAATTGTATGGATGGAACAATATTTTCAGAAATAACGTAGCTCAGTGCTACACTTTCGATGCAAAGGAAAAGACCTATTAAGGCGACGAAAAGGTAGAACTGTGCGCTGTCATATTCTTGTTCCAAGTGCTAATTGAACAGAATCGTACTAGCCCAAATGTGTTTTAAAAAAATGAATATTTAGTATAAAAAAGTATCTTAATTTTTACTTTGAAACATGAGCTTATGTTGTTGTCTTGTACAATTCAATATTATGAGGTATAAAAATGTAATGATGCAACAAAACATTATGATTAGTCAATATTCATCAACAAAATTTGAATCACCATTAAGAAGTAAATCAAACATTGTATATGAATACTTATTTTAGAAAACCTAGATATTTTGGTAACTTTATATTGAAGTCCCTAGAAAATCGGTCATTACGAAGATTTTTTTGTTTCCAACAGTACTCCATCAAACTTACGAAACAAAAATAAAAAGAAGATTGAAAAAGTCTGTTTGTAAAATCAAAAAATTAGTACAGAATTGCAGTTTTGAAAAGAACAAAAATCTGTTACTGAACGGATACTGTATGTGGTCTAAACTATAAACTATTATCAGTTATAAAACATTAAGAATATTTATTTACCTAATTTAAATAAAGAAACTACTAAACAATTTATATTTTAAACGAGGTCATTAGAAAAGTAAATAAAATTCTTATATATATTTTTTTAATATCCTGAAATACTTCTACTTATCTAAATAGGTAAATAATATATATTTTATTCTTATTAGGTATATTTTTTAAATGTTTAAATTAAATGTTTTATTATGTATTTCTTCAGTTCTACTATTGTATAGGTTTTCAATAGGTATAGATATTTATAGAATTCCAAATCCTGCTTGCTCTAAACCTAATTGTTTTAGAAGCAATAAAATATTATTTCAATTAATATATTATTTGACATGACAATAATGTCATATTTTATTTTCACTTCAATAAAAGTGTATCCAACTTTTTTAAACATTATTTTGTATTTTTTCATCTACTTACATTTAAAATAACCCAACGCAATCGGTTTACGTACGCTACTGATGGAAGATTCCAACAGCAATGTGATAATTCGAATGAAAAATCCTCGGTATTCCGATTATTAAAATCCTCGGTACATTCCGATTATTTCTATTAGCGACATTTGTAGAGAGAAAGTAAAAGTTGAAAAGTCTTTTGGTAGGTAGAGAGGGGGTAAACGTCAAACCACGTCGGACGGCTCCGAGAATTTCACAGTAATGTTTACCTGCCAGTGTCGTTTCATAGAATAAGTAATTTTAAATTGTTATCAGCGGAACCGGACAATCGCATGTATTTATGGATTATAAATAATTATTAAACATGTATTATAATATTCAAATTATAATTTTACAAAATTTCAACAGCTATTCACAATTTATTAAACTATTTACTCGAAATTGTTATTAACATCTATAAAATAATTTTGTACGCCAATGTATCGCGTCCACTTCGGTGAAATCCGCTGCCAACCTGTCAATTTATGTGTATAAAGTGGGAGAACTGGCAAAAGCATTTCCAACTTTTACTTCTGTTCTATATGCAGTGGTAATCTATCTACACATAAAATAATCCAAGTTACATATGCACGAGCAATCTATATACCTATTATATCATTGAAAAATCTGACAATCGCTTCTTCTTTTACAAAAGATTGATGGCCTTTTTCTCATAAAAATTCGGCTAATCTCTAATGGCCTCTTGTGTAGTTTTAAAACTATCATCGAGAGGCGATTTTCGACTTTTAGGAATTTATTCATATAAGAATATTTGACTATTTTCATGTATAGGAAAATTCTTTAAGGAAAAGATTCCTACAAATCAAGAATTTATTTATTTTTTAAGAACATTGCTGCCGACATGACAATTTTTTTACCCGTTATTTACTATTTTAAAAATTAAAAACATGTAACTCTCATTAATAAAAATATTTATTATATTCTAATTTAAAATATTACAATTCCAATTCTTCTTCTACAATTTCTATAGTAAGAGTTTCAACATTGTCCTTATTTTTAGGCATTTCTACATCGTTATTTTGATTATAATGTTCTAGCATTACATTTTCCTGTTCTAATAATGTATTTTTCTGTTTCAACTCCTCTACTTCGCACTTTAAAGACGCAATTTTTTTGTTTTGTCGCCACGTTACTTTCTGCAATTCCCTTAATTTAATGCTCTTCAACATATTCGTAGCCTGCAAATCAGATATTTGTAATTTCAATATATGTTTCTGAGGAGTATCTCGATCTGAACTATTTCCTATTGTTGAGGAAACTACTGGAACTGGGGAATTACGATTCGTTGTAGAAGCAGAATGTCCTATAATGGTTAATATTTCCATATCATCTGTTCCCTCTATTTCGGATTTAATTTCTGGCACATCTACATGTTCTAAGATAGTTGGATTGTAATTTCTGCACTGTAATTGAATATAATTTAAAACCATTTTAGGTAATGGGTGAAATAATTATTTTATTTACTTACATACTTCAATCTGCTAACCCTAATTGTCGGGACAGCATCAGGTTTGAGTCTTACTTTCAAAAGTGAAGTTCGATCAAAACAGTCATCTTTAAAATGTTTGGAACATAGAAAATGGTTTGCCAATGGGTCAAAATTTGGTTTATTTAGAAATTCGATCCATAATTTTTTTTGTTTAGGATTTTTAGGAAACCTTGAAATTGTTATCTGTAACGTTTGAAAATTAATTAAACAAAATACTCACCTATGAAATGTAGTTCCTTCCTTTTTGGTTTTATTGATTGCAGAACAACCACAAGCTACACAACTAACCATAATATTGTCTGGTTTTTAATGAATAAAACTTAAATCTACCTAACACTGTTCATTCCAAAAAACTTAAATTATAACAGAGAAACAAGCAAAGTATTTCACAAACTTCATCTAATCATTTTTTCTTTATGAATTTTTGATTTTTTGTACTGACGTATGACAAATGTGACAATTGGCAAGTGACAAGATCAAAGAGTAGTGCGTTCCACAACCTTTCCATAATCCCAAGTTTTCGATTAGGTAAAACTTTAGTTATATCAAGCTAGCGGGCACTCTGTGGCGGCACCATTCAAGACCTGGCGGGTTTTTTGTAGCTTTTTTGTTACACTATTTGCAAATTTGTAGCTTAGCCCAGGTCCGAAAAAACAGCGGATCCGCTAGCTTGAATTTCCATAAATTCCATAGTAGCGGCACAGATTCAGACCCAGCTGGTTTTTCGTAACTTTTTTGTAGCTTTTTTGTTACGCTAGTCTCCCTTTTGTAGCTTGTACTGAACCTGAGAAAAACGCGGATCCGCTAGCTTAGCGGATATTTGTAGCGGCACCAGCCCGGACCCGGCTCATTTTTCGTAACTTTTTTGTAGCTTTTTTGTTACGCCTGTCTCGATTTCGTTGCGAGGCCTGAACGTGAGTAATAATCGTTTCTCCATGAGCGTGAGAGAAAAGTGCGTTAATTTAAAATCAAGTTTCGGCCTCTACAAGTAATAGGTGCAACTCGATAGTGTTACTATCTGTTGATAGATGGCACAAGTATTGCATTTCACGAATTATGCCCATCTTCCATCCAATATATTTTTGAGAAATTTAGATATAATCTCAAAATCGGACATTTGTTTTTAAATGTTTTTTATTATTGTTTATGTATTTATACTTTTGTTGAATCAATAATATTCTTACATCTTTTTTGAATGATTTGCTTAACCAATCATTTGGCAGTATTTATGGACCAGTGTTTAATTCTGTCCGATCACAACTACTCACCAAAGTACTCTGTATGCGAAAACTTTTTATTTTAAAGTTCACGGGTTAATTCAGTTAATTTCACCCTGTTTGACGAGTCCGAACCGATTGGAACCGATTGTCTCTTATACGAGTAGCATATCATACTAGTGAACTTATGATTTTTGAAATATAAAACCAAGTTGGGAACTGATCGTCTTCATAGGATTATTATTTATTTTGAAGTTTAAGGGTTAATTTCACCCTGTTAAACGGGTTCTAAGGTTTACAGCGTACTTTGGTGAGGGTATTTATGACTTTTTAAATGTAAAACCAAGTTGGAATCTAATAGTCTTCATTTGGTAATTATTTATTTTCATAAAAAAAAATTTCAAACTTTTTGAACATGCCCCATTATTAAGAGCTCAGGATCAGAAAAGCACGATATCGGTTAATTTTCTGTCAGGTAGGTATAGGGATTTGATATATCCATATAGTCTTCCATTAAAACCGATGTTGGTCACTATGGATATTAATGAGTAAGTGAGGCAAATATACTCATAGATTTTAGTAAGTTAGATAAACAAAGCAAAGACAGATTATAGATGTACCTTTATACATACCTACCTAACATAAAATGAACCGATCTGTATCTTATTTATTTGGGATACAAAATTAATGGTTTGAGTATAAAATATATATTAATTATATTATAAAAACCCTTGATATTCTCAAGAATGAGAATAAATTGAAAACAATTCGACACATTTGTTCAAAAACTTGTTGCTAGGTGATAGCTACCAAGCAATTATTCTCACTACAATAATGTTGTGATTGGACAGAATTAAACACTGGGGTAGTATTATCGAATCACGAATACCGACATTCGCATACGTGTTTTACAATGTGTCTCACTTTGTTGAACAAAAACCAAGTGAGACAAATCATAAATCTCGCATGCGAATCTATATTCGTGACTCGAGAATACTACCCCTGGTCCATAAATACTGCCAAACAATTGGTTAAGGAAATCATTAAAAAATGATATAAGAATATCCTTGAGTCAACAAAAGTATAAATACATAAACAGCAATAAACAAACATTTAAAAACAAATGTCCGATTTTGAGATTATATCTAAATTTCTCAAAAATATATTGGATGGAAGATGGGCATAATTCGTGAAATGTAATACTTGTGCCATCTATCAACAGATAGTAACACTATCGAGTTGCACCTATTACTTGTAGAGGCCGAAACTTGATTTTAAATTAACGCACTTTTCTCTCACGCTCATGGAGAAACGATTATTACTCACGTTCAGGCCTCGCAACGAAATCGAGACAGGCGTAACAAAAAAGCTGCAAAAAAGTTATGAAAAATGAGCCGGGTCCGGGCTGGTGCCGCTACAAATATCCGCTAAGCTAGTGGATCCGCGTTTTTCTCAGGTTCAGTACAAGCTACAAAAGGGAGACTAGCGTAACAAAAAAGCTACAAAAAAGTTACGAAAAATCAGCTGTGTCTGAATCTGTGCCGCTACTATGGAATTTATGGAAATTCAAGCTAGCGGATCCGCTGTTTTTTCGGACCTGGGCTAAACTACAAATTTGCAAATAGTGTAACAAAAAAGCTACAAAAAACCCGCCAGGTCTTGTATGGTGCCGCCACAGAGTGCCCGCTAGCTTGATATAGCCAAGTTTTCGATTAGGTAAAACTTCAAAACCTTCACAATGCATTTAAAAAAATTTAGCTACGTGCAAATCATTAAAGAAAGAAGCGTTGATTAAAAGAAACAGTAGAGCTGGACCAGTGAATTGTATATTTAAAATGGAACAACAATCCCTATTAGGCATTACAACGACCTGTCCAAATGGCTACCAGTGGGGGACTGACAGTTTAGATATGGCAACCCTGTTGTCTTTAACAGGGTCAATGATACATATATAGTTACATAGATTGCTCAAAGCTGGTCGTTTGCCAGCGGCCATATTGCCTGGCAAATATTTATTAATTTGAATCGGTTTAGCAAAAATGTGTTTTAAAACCGATTTTTCAGCCTTTGGATATTAAAAAAAAAATAATTGCTTGCATTTTTACTTCAAAACATAAGCTTATGTTTATTTTTAAAACCGTGGATGATCAATCTATATAACTGTCTATGTCATTGACCCTATCAAACCATTTAGGCTTACACAATGAACTGGGGACCTATTTTCAAACTGTGTGAGTACTCATTTCTCTCAAGATTCTCATCAGAAATGTCATACGTCAATGTGGAAATGTTGTTTTTAAAGGCATCTAAATAAACCGAGAGAAACAGTCAGTGAGTTCACACTGGCCCTAAGAGCCCTAAAAATACGGTTTTACGTTGACGTATGACATTTCTCTTGAGAGAAATGAATTCTCTCGAGTTTGAAAATAGCCCCCCTGGAGTGGGGTAGAATGCTTGTCAATTAGGCATTCCAAACTGAATGGCTACCAGTGGGTTTTGACGGGTTATGATATGGCAAAATTATGGCAACCCTGTAGGCCTGGTGATTTGACAAGGTCAATGAAATAGATAGTTACATAGATTGATTATCCATATTTTTCAAAATAAACATAAGCGTATGTCATGAAGTAAAAATGTAAGCAATTTTTTTTAATTTCTAAAGGCTCTAAATTGGGTTTAAAACACATTTTTGCTAAACCAATATTTGCCAGGCAATATGGCCGCTCGTAAACGACCAGCTTTGAGCAATCTATATATGTATCATTGACCCTGTTAATGACAACATGACAACAGGGTTGCCATATCTAAACTGTCATTACCCACTGGTAGCCATTTGGACAGGTCGTTGGAATGCCTAATTGACTTGAGATGCGACTCTATGGGCGAAGACAGGTTATTTTTCATCTCACTCGGGAGTATTTATAACCACCATTTTCTATTTCACTTTGTTATTGTCTGATCCACCAGCTTGTGGATTGAACAATAACAATGTGAAACAGAAAATGGTTATTATAAATACTCCCAAGTGAGATAAGAAATAAAAATGGCTGCGCCCATAGAGTCGCATCTTGTTCTATTGATACAATATGCACATTAGCTTTCTACCCCACTCTAGTTCATTGGGCTTACAGGGTTGCCATATTGTTGCCATATCATAACCTGTCAAAACCCACTGGTAGCCATTTTGTTTGGAATGCCCAATTGATAAAAGTAAGCCAAATTGAATTCGCGCATTATATCATTGGACTACTGGTGAGATTGCGTACAAAGTGCCCTTGCAGATCCGTTTTAGCCATTTCATCTACTTGTTTTAAAATCAGAAAAAAATATTATTTCTGAAACTCAACAATACAAACATCCAATGTAATCTTTTGTTATATTCCTTACTATTTGACGTAATACATTTCAATATATTTACTATGTCAAAAAATAGGAATTTATATGGACTCAGTTTTACCTATCTTAAAAAAATTAATATGTAATAAGTATCAACAGATTTTATTATTTCTTGCTCTAAAATTAAAGAAAACTAATATATGCTTTGAAAGTAATTTGTAATGGATTAACCAATATATGAATTTGTTAAAACTTACCATTATATCGCCTGTAAGCTTTTTCCAAGAAGGATCTAATGGAGACTGTTAAGCCTGATATAGAGACTATAGATCTCTTTACACGAAAATAACAACTGGAATCATTAAAAAATTAATAAGGTTAAAGTGACGACGCTTTTAACCTTTGCTAGTGGCATTAATTTCATTTAAATAATATATTTACATTTAAATAAAATGCTAACAAGATAAATTAACTATAATATTTATTGTAAGGTATTTTTCGCGGCATTAACCAACATGAACATTTATGATAGATTATGGTATTTAAACGTCTATCTATTTAAACGTATATAAACGTCTAAATGGATCTATCATAAACGTTCATATTGATTTATGCCGCGAAAAATATCTTTCTCTAAATTAAATGTCCGGATCAACAAACAGTAGCCACTACCGTCTCAATAATAAGTTGTAAGTTGTAGTTACTACTTAATACGATTTTATTTAATGCTACATACGTGGAGATTTCGGTGCGACCATTATAATAAGGTAAACACATCTGAATTTGTATTATTATTGTTATTTGCAATGGCTATATTTATTTGAATATTTGCTTTTAAAGCTTTAGAATAGATTTACCGGTATACCGATTTTAAGCATCGACATAGGTGTACAATATTCTTAAAAAAAGAAATATTGTAAACAATATGAAAAAGAACATAATAAAAAAAATTTAAGTGTATTCCTCTGTATTTTTATAAAAAAAAAAATAAATATGTTTTATGTGCGATGTCGCAAAAGGTAGGCAACACATTTTACACTAGCCACTGATAGTCCGGGAGCCAGCGTTACATTTTTTGGATAATTTTATTAAAATGTATTTCGATATGAAATATTGTTTTAATATAGTTAATAATCGAAACAAACGTCAATCGTTAACGTTTTGGTTGAGCTGGTTGTGTGAACATTCGGATCATTTAGCAAAAAATAGAAAAAAAAAAGAATTTCTACAAAGTTGAAAATTTGCAGAATTAATGTTTAAATATTTTAGAATTTAAAAATAACAGTCAGCTGCATTGATATTGTTGGATTATTCGTCAATTACCATTATAAATCGGTAATAAAAAGTGTTGATACAAATTTATTTATAATATCACTAGTTAGAGAAAAACAACATGAAACTAAAGTAAATTTATATAATTTAACATATCAAAGAGAATATTTATTATTCTTTTATATATAATTTGTTGCACCAGGCAAATTCTCTTATTTTTAATTCATCTCTACAAAACCTTAATGCGGTTGCAACACTCTCATTAAAAGCACAATTATTATCTCAATTTCCCAAATATCAATTGTTTACTATGTTATATATTGTGGAATGCTATTCCAGATCATTTCTTCGTATGAATATATCTGTTAGGCTGCTACAACAAGCAACCAATGTTTAATAGTGGATTTTATTTGTTGCACTAGGTGTAAGTGTTCTACACTAATCGTATTTGATTTGTTCAGTGTAGCTTCAAATACTTGAGTGTAGATAAAGTGTAACTGTTTTATTTGCAAACAAACCGCCTAAAAAAACACGCTGCACTCTACAGCTGCAAGATCTTCAAGGCAAAACACACACACCCTTACAAAACAGTGAGTACTTTCAGAAATCCAACTAACTATCCTAACCTGGAGTTATATACCACATTTAGAAGGGACCGCCTGGCCGAAAATTTAAGTCAAAAAAGTTTGGAGAAAGTACTCGCTAATTTGGTGAAAGACACCAACTCAAATCAGACGTCCACAGAGAATTAAGCCACCCCAGAACATCAGAATACAATTCCAGACAGCTATTAAAATCCGATACAAACAGCAGAAAATGAACGAAAAAAGTATGGAGAATAAAAAATTTGAAAGTATGGAGAACGCGGCTGATAGCCAAAAAAGTATGCAGAAAGCTCTCGACAGTCGCAAAATACGCGAAAGTTACGAGAACGCAGCCGACCAACAGCCGGAGCAGCCGCCGAGCGATTCGACTTGCGACGAAAACAACGATTCTCAGTCATCGCAATATAGTATCGACGGACCGAGAGCCGATGCCAACAATGAAAGTATGGAGAAACTAATAAAGACACTTGAGCGCTCTTATAGTGGATCCAGCAGCCCTGACACAGATGATTCACCCGATTTGCACATCGATGAACACGATTCTGACACCGACACCCCTGACACAATAAAAAATTCTTCAACTTTTGAGCAAAAAAAAAGTATGGAGAACATTCAGAAATCCCAAAATTCGAATCTGCTTATAAAACCATAGCAATGCCAAGTCACGTGACTGCCAGAATTCTCAACTTCGGACAAAATGAGGCATCATCAGGGGAGGAATCATCAAACAACAGCGATGCACCCCCACCCCAGAATTTCATATAGAGAAAGTAAAAGTTGAAAAGTCTTTTGGTAGGTAAAGAGGGGGTAAACGTCAAACCACGTCGGGCGGCTCCGAGAATTTCACAGTAATGTTTACCTGCCAGTGTCGTTTCATAGAATAAGTAATTTTAAATTGTTATCGGCGGACCCGGACAATCGCATGTATTTATGGATTATAAATAATTATTAAACATGTATTATAATATTCAAATTATAATTTTACAAAATTTCAACAACTATTCACAATTTATTAACATCTATAAAATAATTTTGTACGTCAATGTATCGCGTCTACTTCGGTGAGATCTGATGCCAACCTGTCAATTTATGTGTATAAAGTGGGAGAACTGGCAAAAGCATTTCCAACTTTTACTTCTGGGGTGCTATATTCAAAGTCGAGAGAATTCATTTCTCTCGAGAAAAATGTCATACGTCAACGTAAAACAGTATTTTTAGGGTCCTAAGGGCCAGTGTGAACTCACTAATTGTTTCTCACGGTTTATTTAGAGATAATTAATATCCTCATAAGAATTTTAATCCTCGAGGCCTTTAAAAACAGCGTTTCCACATTGACGTATGACATTTCTGATGAGAATCTTGAGAGAAATGAGTGCTCCCATACTTTGAAAATAGCCCCCCTGTTCTACAAACAGCGGCAGATATTTACGTCCAAGCACCACCATTACTCCCTCAACTTTAACTCATAGACTTAATATAACTAGAGTAATAATTCGGTGATGTGAAATGTGATACGCAAACGATTCTTGGAAATCGGTCTTACAAAAAGGCTTAAAACAATTGATCTAATATCAAATGGCCTTAATACAAATGATCTAAAACCCATTTGGTCTAAATACATTTGATTTAAAATAAATTTGATCAAATTACAATAGCTTTAAATGACATTATTTTTTCTGAAACGTTAGAATATTACAAAACACAAAAATAATTCAAAACTGTTGAGTTTTTACGGTTCTATACAAAATAGTTTAAGGTTTAGGTTGTTTTTTAATTAGTTACATAAAATTAGAAAAATATAAAACTTAACTAATGATCTTACTTATGCAGCCTGGAGCCATCGCGAGTTGCTTGAAATTCAAACTTTTTTTAGTTTCAAAGTAATTAAAATAATTGTTTTTAGAAGAAATGTAATTTAGACAAATCTGATGCACTTTAGACAAAGATATTTTAGATCAGACGCAATTTAGACCAATTGGTTTTTGAATAGAATGTATTTAAATCAATTGATATTAGACTAAATGTTTTAGACTAAATGTTTTAGACTAAATGTTTTAGACTAAATGTTTTAGACTAAATGTTTTAAACTAAATGTTTTAGACTAAATGTTTTAGACTAAATGTTTTAGACTAAATGTTTTAGACTAAATATTTTAGACTAAAGGCCGATCTTTTTACCTGTAGGTATATTTGACAGATTAACAAACAATACCCCTATAGTTAAATCAGCAAGTAGTTACTGACAATGTTACTCAAAGGTAAAAAGACTGACCCTAAATGTTTTTAGACTAATTTTTTTTAGACTAATTTTCCGGGAACCAGTGCAAACATATGACAGGAATATTATGTATAAACCAATCTATCTCACTGTTATTACGACCGTGATTCTATCTATAGAAAACTTTATAATTCTGGAAAAATACCTTTATTGGGAATAACATTGATAAAGTTAACCAACAAATTTTACTACAATAATATTTATAATAATCTCTTGTTATAAGATATCACAACCACATTCTATTTTCATGTTAATTTAATCTACAAAAAATTATTTTTCTGTGTTTATATATTATAAAATCCTTGATAACTACTTTGATATATATATATATATATATATATATATATATATATATATATAAGAATTAATTCAAAACAAATTTTGCAGTCTTGTTCTACATAATTTCCATCGAATATGCAGTTGAAGTGGGGTATTGCAGCTTCCGGAAAGATTTCCAACGATTTCGTCCAGGCCTTAAAGGCTCTACCAACGAGCGATCATAAGGTCGTAGCTATAGCCAGTCGTACGCTAGCAAGTTCGGATAAATTTGCTAAAACTCATGGCATTTCAACAGCTTACGAAGGCTATGACAAGCTGGCAAAAGATGAAAACGTCGATGTTGTCTACGTAGGAGTTCTAAATCCGCAACATTATGATGTCGTAAAGGTAAATGAAAAAGTATAGTAACACTTGAATCAAATATTTATATATAAGATCTACCGCTTGCGTTATTGTATTATTTTTTAAGGTTAGCCCTTTGCCCTAAGCACATTCTACCGTTTAGTTATTACTTCATAATCCTAAAACTGTCCCCAAATGTCATCCATGAAGTTTTAAAAATGTATTTAAATATAGAACCTCAGATAAATTAAATCTTATGAACTGTACAGATTAGTTTGAAATAAGGATTGAAAACATATAGCTCTAGATTTTATTAAAATTGGTATTTTGGTTGAGCTAGTAGACAAGTGTTGCCACAAACTGCTTCTTGATTCTACGCTAATAGATAACCAAATTCTCCATTTAGGAAAATACGTAGCCTTTTTTTTTCTCCTTATACAAGGAAAAATTCACCTGTCACCAGTCAACCGTCAACTGTCAACTGTCAACACTAATCCGTGTTCGGCAATTACGCTTGAAATAGGCAATCCAAATCACGTGACTTTAAATCAATGAGGTTGAATACTATGGAGATGACATGCCAAAAAAACGACACCCCTTCCCCCTCTCTTAGTGGTCATGTCATAGTTGTCAAAGAGCTGTCAGAACTTTGTTTAAATTTAAATATTTCGACGTTATTATGATGGTGGGTCAGGTTTTCCGGGTTTTCCTCATTAAATATTTGAAAAAACGCATTTAGAACTTTCTACAGACTACCAAACTACATTTAATATGCGCCCCATGTCCTTTTTACATTCTTCTAAGTCCTGCACTATTCTAAAAATCTATTTTAATAGACAAATTACATTTGCCACAAACAATTTACAATTTTTCTTTTTTCAAGCTATTATTAGAAGGAGGCAAACATGTACTTTGCGAAAAACCATTCACAATGAATGAAAAACAAACGAGGAAATTAATAAGTCTGTCTAAAGAGAAGAAACTATTTTTGATGGAAGCAGTATGGTCGCGATTTTTCCCCGTCTACAAGGAGTTGAAAAAAGTCATAGATGCTGGAGAAATTGGTGAGGTAGGTGAAAAAATATTGTGCCAATCTAATGTGTGTTTATTAGTAAACTATTTTATGTTTGCTCCTTTTACATTATCACTTATATCATTAATCTTTAACTTTGATAACAACCTGTTTAATCCGATTAAATTTATCAACATTTTTAGGTTAAAGAAGTATCAGTAGACTTCGGAATGCCTCTTAATCAAGTAGATCGCTTGAACAAAAAAGAATTAGGTGGCGGAACCATCTTAGATTTAGGTATCTATACTCTTCAGTTTCAACAGTACATTTTCCGTGGACTTACGCCTATCAAAGTGGTGGCGAACGGTCAGTTGAACGAAGATGGCGTCGACAAATTCGCTGCCGCCATTATAACCTACGAACAAGACAAAATGGCGGTTGTTTCTTGTTCCGCTGTAGTTCAAAATTCTTGCGAAGGTAATTTACCGCTATTTTCCTTAAATTTTATCTATATGTATATTTTTAACTTGTCAACTGTCACTTAATAGTTGTATGATTTATTTACTATTTCTAAATTTTCAGCTAGAGTTTACGGTACTAAAGGTTCAATTAAAATACCTTTTTTCTGGTGCCCTACCAGCATGGTAATCAATGGAAAGACTCGCGAATTTCCGTTGATCGAAAACGATCGAACTTTCAATTATTCAAACAGTGCCGGACTGGCCTATCAAGCAGAAGAGGTAAGAAAATGCATCATGGCTGGGAAAATTGAAAGCCCTCAGATGACGCATGACGAAACAATCCAATTAGCGCAATTGATGGATAAGATGAGAAAAGAATTGGGAGTTGTTTATTCAGCTGATAGTCAAACATATTAATATTTTTTTTTGTTTAAAAGTAATATTTAGAATGTATATTTTTGTTAATAAATTATAAACGGTATATGTTGTGATTTTTTTATTTAATTCAAAATACATAACTTCCAACTAGAACAATATAAATTATACAGGGTGATTACCTGTTTATGTAGATAAATAGGAAGATTTTTTATATGAATTTATTGTTACACCACGTATAGTACAACAAAAATAGGTTATTCTCTCGCAAAAAAACTTTCTACACGATTATAAGTAATGAATAATTAGAAGACCATAAAAAAGAGATTAAAATCAAATTGTTAAAATTAGCAATAACTTAGCAGCAATAAATTAGCAATAAATTAGCAATAAATTAACAATAAATTAGCAGTAATTTAGGAATAAATTAGCAATAAACTAGCAATAAATCCGTAATAAATTAGTAATAAATTAGTAATAAATTAGCAATAAATTAGCAATAAATTAGCAATATATTAGTAATAAGCAATATATTAGTAATAAGCAATAAACTAGTTAAATTAAAACAGATAAAATAGCAATAAAGTAATAAAAAAATTGGAGTGTAATCTAAAATTAAAAGTTCGGGTGTGGGTTATACTAGCTTCCACATACGCTAACAAGATACATTTTCTAAATAAAGAGATGGATCAATAAAATTAAAATCAGCAATACATTAAATTAGCGATTTAATAGCAATAAATTAGTAATCAATTACCGATAAATTAACTAATAATTGAGGAATGGTGAATAATAAATATACTAGAATATATTAGCATTAAATTAGCAATACATGAGTAATAAATTATGAATAAATTAGCAATAAATCAGCAATAAATTAGCAATAAATTAGCAATAAATTAGCAATAAATTGGCAATAAATTAACAATAAATTAGCAATAAATAAGCAATAAATTAACAATAAATTAGCAATAACTTAGCAATAAATTAGCGATACATTAGCTAAAAATTGAGAAGTAGTAAAGAATCAACGATTAGGTTATGGATCTGAAGCTTCCACTTACGCCCCTAACAATGTTACATATTTTTCAATGAAGGGGTAAAGCAGTTAAATTAAAAGGGGGTAATAAAACAGCGATAAATTAGCTAAAAATTGTGGCAGGTAAAAAAATGAAAATTCGGCTTCCACTTGCGCTAGCAGAAGAAATATTTTTTTCAGTGAAGAGATGAAGCAATAATATTAAAATAATGACAATAAATTAGCAACAAGTCAATAATAAATTAGCAATAAATTGGAAATAAACTGAAAATAAATTGGAAATAAACGGAAATAAAATGCAAATAAGTTGGAAATAAGTTGTAAATAAATTAGTAATAAATTAGCTATGAATTAGTAATAAATTAGCATCAAATTAGTCATAAATCAGCAATCAATGAGAAAAAGTCAATTAGCATCAAATCAGCAATAAATTAGCTATAAGTAATAAATTAGCAATAAATTAATAATAAATTAAATTAGCCATAAATTAGTAATACATTAGCAATAAATTAGCCATAAATTAGTAATAAATTAGCCTCAAATTAGTCATAAATCAGCAATCAATGAGAAAAGGTCAATTAATTAGCATTAAATCAGCAATAAATCGGCAATAAATAAGCTATAAATAAGTAATAAATTAGCACTAAATTAGCACTAAATTAGCAAGAAATTAGTAATAAATGAGCACTAGTAATAAATTAGCACTAAATTAGCAATAAATTAGTAATAAATTAGTAATAAATTAGCAATAAATTAGCAATAAATTAGCAATAAATTAGCAATACATTAGCAATAAAATAAAATTTCATCTGTCAGAGATTGGCCGAAACCAAGACACAAAAAAAAAATTAGAAGTTTTCTTGGACTGTGTTCATATTACCGAAAATTCGTCAAAGACTTTGGTCAAATTGCTAAACCCCTTCATCGACTAACTTAAAATAGTAGTCTATTTGACTGGACGCCGGACTGTTAAAATGCCTCTACCGAGTTAAAAAAATGATTGACTACGGCACCCATCCCAGCATACCCTCGCGAAAAAGGACAATTCATTTTAGAAAGTAATTGCGTATTTTAGTAAGACCTTAGGAAAAGCTAAGAAGAATTACTGCGTCACAAGAAAATAACTTTTAGCCATTGTCAAAGCCCTCGAACACTTCCACACCTACCTTTTTAACAGAAGTTTTATTATTAGAAGTGACCATAGCGCCTTGCAGTGGCTGATGAATTTTAATAAACCTGAAGGACAAGTTGCTAGATGGATAGAAAGACTGCAACAATACAACTTCGAGATAGTGCAGCGAATGTGACGTCTCCATCGCAACGCAGACATTCTTTCCAGGCGACCGTGTTCAGATCGACAATGCCGGTACTCCCCATTGGCTCCAGCCAGGTCCCAGTAATCAAGTTATTCGAGACGAATAACTAGAGAGGAGGGAGCAATGTTAAGCAGCACCCTGTAGCGTGCTGCGGTCGTTATAAGTAAAGGTAGTAAATGAAGAAGATAGAATAGTCCAGAAATGTCTCGAAATGTCATTCCTTGTCAAAGAAAACCCTGGATTGTTCGAGAAGGTTCTAGAAGGTTGAGGCAAGCTGTATAAGTCGACGACCTGATGTTAGAGTTCAGTTTTATGATGGACGTTAAACGTTAATGTTATCAGTTGGATAGTTATTGTTAAAGTTGAATTGAAATAAATTGTGTAACAACATGTATCATCTTCTTGAAGAAATTAAACTTACTAAAGGATATGGTCGGAATACTACGTAATTTTAACCACGGGTAATCACTGATTTTGATATAACAACAGAACAGTCTTGTTTAGGAACAGAATAACAAAGAGCTTGGCAATTTAGAAGACCGGAATGTAAATAAATAAAAAATAGGTTTTAAAAATAACACTATAAAATAAAGTTGACAAAAAAATGGTTATTTCTAAATAAGTACATTATAATTAACACTTATATAAAAAATTTAAACTCGCAATCTTTTTCGAGTAATAGATAATCATTTTTCAAAAGGTTTCAGGGTTGGTTCGGGCCACAGTGTACCGCATCACTGTTCCTTATAATAGCTACGCCCCTGTTAACGAGTCCTAAGATAGGCCTACGAGAAGTAACAGAATTTTGGTCAGAATTTTGCTCCACAAGGTGTGGTTTGTATTATATCCCTTTATACTGGACTAAAACGCGATGCGCGACACGGCTGACCTGAAAACCAAGCTCCTCCTAGGGGCTTTGACTCTCGTATACACTCGGGGCACTCGGGCATTCTATTTACTCGAGAGTTCATTTCAGCAGCGCTGCTGAAAAACGCATCGGATGTTGATAAATGCATTTATGCGATAAGATATAGGATCCTACCAATTTCATTGCAACCAAGTATGTACTCGTACATGCTTAAACGATTCTAGAGAAGGGATACAATGCGTTGATGTGCAATACAACTTTAACCACAACAAAGTCGCGTAAAGCGTAAATTTTTAGTTCCAAATAGAGACAGTTCGCGGTTGGAACAGCTGATCGTGGCTCGCTGGTTATCAGTGAGAAGTGCGTGCTCGCGATAAACAAACGAAAACGTGCATTTTATCATTTGATTCGATTGATGACTGTGTAAATTAAGTAAACAATGGAATTGACTTCTACTTCTAGGAATACATCGATGAGGTATTTGCCGAAAAGGCCTCCGGTGGACATCGAATTTAACGATGTCACCTATTCGGTGCCGCAAGGAAGAAAAGGTCAGAATGGTTCATTGTTTCCTTTATTAATATTAATGCGTTTATTGTCTAGAATTGGGGTTATTGATTTTTTTTCGTTAAACTAATTTACTTTGTCATTTTAATTTAATAAATTATAAATATAAATTAATTTTTATTACTATTTCTAGGCAATAATAGTAATAACTTTATTTAGGAAACATAAAAACAGCTATACATAATATATTAAAATACTCTTGAAGGAAATTTGTTGAAGGAACAATTTTAAATAATTATTTAAGGCCGGGACTATACATAGCGTTTTACCAGGAGCGTTTTATCGGTACCCCTTTGGCAGGACAGGTACAACCATAGATATATAACCAAGACAGATAGGATTATTTACAAAATTTTTGAAGAATGAACGGTGGTGTCCGCGGTAGAAACTCAATAATCGGATTGAACATTGATGCCAAGTTTACGTGCTTTTAACTATAGATATATATAACCAATACAGATTACACAATTTCTGAAGTCAACGCGGATGATCCTCGACAGAAATGCAATATTTGGATAAAATTAAAATATTGATGCCAAGTTTGCGATGTTTTTAACTGAAGTAATGTTATTGCGTTTGCTTGAATTACTGTTAGGTCTTTAAATTGTCCAAAAAAAATATAATGTCTGACAACAGCGGAAGTAGAGTAGACCGCAATTGTGGAGGGTCGTATATTATTTCATTCACAAAAATTCCTTCGATACAGTAATAGTCCAGGAGCCAGTGAATTTTTTCGTACTTGTTTTCCCGGTCCGTGTATATTTAAATAATCTATTCCCGGTGAACTGTATATTTAAACTGGAACGCCAATCTATTAACAAAAGTAAGCCAGATTGAATTCGCGCATTACGTCACATCGATACAAGTGATATTGTTTACAAAGTGCCTTTGCAGGCCTATTTTGCCCATTTCATGTATTTGTTTTTAAATCATGTTAAATTACTATTTTTGAAACTCAACAAGGAGAAAATCCAATTAACTCTTCCGTTGTATATATATATATATATATATATATATATATATATATATATATATATATATATATATATAAGATAAATTAACTGAAGTTTTATTAGTAAAGTATTAATACTAAAATTTTAATGTAATTTACAGAAAATAGCTAGGTGTGTATTTGTTTTTAAATAATTTGATAATTTATGAAAAAAGGGAGTAAAAGTGGAATGACCAGTGGCCAGTAGGTCAGTCAATACAAAGTATCATATATTTCTATTATAACATAACTAAAATACCT